GAGGCCTGGGGGCCGGAGGCCGCCGCTGCCGCCATGCCGTTGCTCTTCCTCGAGCGCTTCCCCTGGCCCAGCCTCCGCACCTACACGGGCCTCAGCGGCCTGGCCCTGCTCGGCACCATCGTCAGCGCCTACCGCGCCCTCAGCCAGCCCGAGGCCGGGCCCGGGCGCGGCGAGCAGGAGTCGCCAACGGCCCGGCTGCTGCCGGAGCCGGCCGCGCTCGCCCGCCCGAGCGCCGGGGGACCCCGCGCCCGCGACGTGGCCCAGTACCTGCTCTCGGACAGCCTGTTCGTGTGGGTGAGCGAGGCCGCCGCGAGGGGCGGGGGCCGCCATGTCACCCATTATCTGTGGGGGGCGTGGCTGGGGCCCGGGTCCCCTCCCTGGGGCCCGCCGAGTGCGGCGCCTGGGGCCCCGCCCGCGAGCGCGCTGCCGGTGGAGGGGGGCTGTGGGGCTGGCCCGGGGCGGGAGGAGATGGGCGTGAGGGGGGGCGCGGGGGCGCGAGGGAACGAGGCAGGGCCCGGGGGAGGGAAGAGGTTAGGTGCTGGAGGGGCGGAGTGGAAGTCAAAGATGGGGAGCGGGGTGGGGGTTCCTGAGGGCCCCCCGGGGAGGAGACTGGAAGCCCTCAGAGAGCAGGCTCGGGGGAGGCTGGGCCCGGCGGGTCAGTGGCCCCGCTGCTGTGTTCCCTGGTGGAGGGAAGCTGACAGGCCTTTCTGACCCGGTCGTGCACGGCAGTGTTGTAGGGTTTCCCCTGGAGAGGAGAGGGCACAGCCGGAATTCGGGGTCGAGTCTGGGAGCATTTAGGCATTTGGACGTTCCTATTCGGAGAGAGGCCGTCTCCCACCACTTTTTTGTCGTTTAGCCTGCGATTGTCCTCTTTGGGTCAAACAAACCTGCAGACCGTGCTTCCTCTCCTGCCGCTCTCACCTGGTGATTCGTCACGGTTTCCTTTGATGTCTGAAGGCAGCAAAACACTCATCATTTTAACTCAGGATTTCTCCTTTTGGTGATCCATTTTAAAACAAGGTTTCCAGTTCGTCTGTCAATGCACGATAAAGCAGCCTTTACAAGGCAGACATGCTGGGTTCGCTGATTAGAACGGATAATTTCAGGCGGGGCAGATCAGGAGTATTTTGGCTAAAGAACTTTGCTTCCGCCTTGGCCTAATGTAAATGCTTCTTTATATAAACCCTACAGTGATCAGAAAAGTTGCTGCAAGGTTGAAGTGTGTCGCTTGGATATACTGTGGCGTCTTGAGTCTTGTCCCCTCCTGAGAGTGCCCATTTGGGGTGGAGAGTAGGCTGTAAATGACTGAGATTAGTATTCCAAGTATATAGAATGATATACAACTCATTTGTAATAATTAATCCCACTGTGCTTCATCAGGAAGCAGTGGGATTTAGGGACTCCGTGGGCTGTGGATTAAGTCTCCTGGTCCTTCTCATGAAGAGATTAGTGGAAGGCAGTGGAGGGTGAGGTTCGGGTGCTCGGCTGCTGTGAAGTTGGACCTTACAGAACTGAAGACGGTAAAAGTGAAAGAACTCAACTCCCATCTCTTGTTTAATTTCAGATCTATTTTTGTGTTTGACTTAAGCAGGTAAACAAGTTAAAGTGATGTGAAGAGGGTTTTTGCCAGATGTTAACATCATCATGTAGTCTTTGACATATTTTTTTAAGTATAAGATATGAATAAGCCTTTGAGAAGGAACCACTATAGTATTTATATAACAACTACTAGTAGTGATTCGTGATTTTTTTTTCCCTCGGAGTTTCTTTTTACAAAACCCACGTTCAAATTCCAAGGTTAACAGCTCTTCATAAAATATTACATAAAGGCCTGTTGATTTTTCTGTGAAAATTATTACTTTTAAGAAAGTTTCCTTTTCTTCCCAGCTTTTTCAGTAAAGGACTTGCCTCATGCAAGTTTGACATTTCTTCCTGTCTGTTTCCTTTCTCAATTGATCTTCTTATTGTTTTTCTTCCATCTTTCCTCCTTGGTTTTCACGCTTCCATCGTGGCCTTCCTTGGTTTCTCAGACCCTCAGCACCCATTACATGGTTTCTGCTTCACTAGCTGAGTAGGAATCACAATCTCAGAGGCCTTCCTCCGTGGGCTGACGGATAGCTTTATTGAGTGAATATGTGGTGGGGCCTTTGTCAAAATGGATCTGTTTTGCTCTCTGTCCGAAGGCATTCAGATTCAGTTTTTTAAAACCAAGCAAGACAAAACAAAAGCTGATCTTTTGGCCAGTTTGCAATCTGGCTGCTATTATTTGGTGTATTGGAATGTCTAAAACTTATCTTTGTAGAGCACAGTTTAGATTAGTATGGGTCTGATAGCATCTCAAGAGGTTTTTGGTTAACAAACTCATTTCGAAACCCTCAAAGGTACTATTTGGAGCACTCTGGAGGGCATGGCTGTGAACACTTTCCCCCTACTCTCAAAGCAATCCATATACAAATAAGGCAAAATTCGATAAATGATAGTAGATATATAAAGAAAATATGGTGGAGTTTGGAGGAAAGAGAAAACGATGCCCAGGGAAGGATGCATGGAAGGTGATATTTGAACCCAGCCTTGGAAGGTGGGAAGGGTCTCAGCAAGCAGCAAAGGGCATTCCAGGTAGAGAAAACAGCATGTGAAGCTCAGACTGGAGTATGGAGGACAGGGGAGAGCACAGTGCAGAGCGGTTCATAAAGTGGGTTGTTAAATTGAAATTACATTGGATCCTTTCATTTAAGAGTGAGGTTGGGAAGGTGAAGGGGAGACCCAGGAGTCACAGGAGATGGGGGAAGTGACCCTGCTGTGAGAGAAAGGGAGAGGTGAGCAACCCCTCTGAAAGTGTATTTTTCAAAGTGTGGACCTCTGGCAACCTGGTTCATTGTCACCTGGGATACTTGTAAAATGTTGTTTCTCAGGCTCTACCTGGGGATCAATTTCAGGGAGAAGGCTGGAGCCTTGGCATCTTCATTTTGATTAATGTCCTAGGTGATTTTAGGCACACTAATGGTTGAGAAACTGAATAGGCAGGAGATGGGGTGTGGGGTGAAGGTCAGATTATATAAACCTTGCCTGCTCTGCTAAGGAGTGTGGACATTACTTTCTGGGCCCTAGGGTTTAGGTGGGATTGGAGGGGAAGAGGGGCTGTCGTGATGAAATGTTGTTTTCAGGGGACAGCCTGTGGCAGCAGTGGGGAAGATGGATTTATGTAGAATGGGAAGAGGCCTGGAGATGTAGTGACCTAAAACCTCCTCCCCCCAAGGAAGTCTCTCCAGGTGGCCCTCTGGCATGAACATTGAAAACAGGTTAGAGGGGAGGCTCCAGGTGTCTCACACTAATAAATACCTAGGTTTGACACGATCATTTGTTTTTTCATGTCTTCTAGAACTTTCCTTCTAAAGAGTCATTCTAGATTAGGTTTTATTTTGTTATTCATTTCCAGGCTTATTTTACATTGTTCAGATATCATTTCCATTAAATTATCTCTTGATCCATTTCATCATTTTGAATTGTGCAAATGTTTTTGGCTTTTCCATTTCTATTCTTGTTCATTTTCATTACTTTCTCCTTTCTGTTTTTTTTTTTTCTTTTCTATGGATTTTCCTCTAAAATTGTAAGAGCAGGACATGTAAAATGAAGAGATAGAAATATGAAAAAAGTGTTAAGGTTCTGACTTAATTATATGTAGGTCAAATAATTTAAATAAAAGTCTCAGGGAAAAAAAAAATCACCAAAAGTGAAAATGGATAAAAGTGAACTGACCATTTAGAGCAGGGATTGGCAAACTGTAGTGGCCTCTTTGGCCTGGACTGTTTTTGTACAGTCTATCAACTAGTAATGGTTTTTACATTTTTAAAGTTTTTTTTTTTTTTTTTTTAAAGAGAAAACTATGTGTCAGAGAGCCTGTGGCCTACAGAGCCTAAAATATTTACTGATAGCCCATTAGATTAAAAGTTGCTGACTCCTGCTTTAAAGAGCCCATCTTCACATAATTATACAACTTCAAAACTGAAAGTAATTTACTAGGTTTGAGTCTTTATGAGTTGAATATTCCAAAGAAGATTAGAGAAAAATGTTAATTCCAGAAATGTTGGGGCAACTGAAGAAAAAGACTAAACTCCTAAATAATGGGATATAAGTCTAGATAAACAACTTAAAAATATAGGGAAAATCTTCAGGGTGAAGGGGAAGGAGACTGCTACTCGATTGCTTGCTAGACGTGTGCTGAGTGCTTTGTGTACATAATCTCATTTATTTCCCTCTTATTGTGAAAAGAGGAACACAATCATCGATGTAATAAGGGGGAGTATGCATCTTTGATTTTATTGGCATTTTTTACTTGTCACTGGGAACCTGTGGAGGTAACATATTCCAGCTGTCTTTAAAGGTAGGAGACAGACAAATGGTGTGTGGGGAGTGGTAGTTAGTGCTAGTGTTAAGTAGGAGACTAAGAAATATCCGTATTGATCATGTCCTTGAAACAGTTCCTGGTAGTTTAGCCACATCTCATCACATGCTCATAAATAATGCCTCATTAGTGGCCAGCATTTTACAGGATCAAAAATACCTCCAGGGTTACACAGTGATAAACGTGGCTAAGCCATTTGTTACCACCCTCGTCTCTTTTCCTTAAAGGCCTCGAACTGTCTTAGAATTTAGTTTCTGTTTTCTCAAGTAGAACAGTAGAACCATTCTGGGAGGGAAGTTTTCTTATGGGGCCTTGGCGTAAAGGGAATGACTTTAAGCTTGATTAAAGTCAGGGTTCCTTGGGCACTGCTATCTGACCTATTCTGTTACGGGCTGCTCAGGGATGAGCAAAACTTGTTTTTATTTTGTGCAGACTAATAAAAGATAAAGGCATTTGGTGAGGTTTTAAAAAAAATATTAAAATTTTTACAGTGCTATAGATGTGAGACTTTTCTGAAGTATTTTAATATATTAGAAATACTGTGTGTTGTAACGGGTTAACTTGGGACTCAGGCCATCTAGTTTTGGTTTGTTACTCATCAGTCTCCCATCATATGATGAGAAAAATAATGTGGAATTTCAGAACTGGTCAGATTAGTTTAATAGATTCTAAACTTTAAAAAAAATTAATTAAATAAATAAATAATGCATGCTCATGGTACAAAAATCAAAAAGTACACAAGTGATATACAGTGAAGAGTAAATCTCCCTCTCTGCCTGCTACCTGCTTCTCTCCCCCAGAAGTGGCCATTACTGGTTTATTGTAATTAGTGCTGGCGTTAAGTAGAAGACTAAGCAATATCCAGATTGATCAAGTCCTTGACACAGTTCCCATCTACATGTTTTACAAACGTGTATGTATACATATACTATCTTTTTTACACAGAAGGTAGCACAGGAATCACATTTCTACACTTTGTTCTTTTTCAGTGAACAAATTATCTTGAAGTTTCCATATTACACTGGTAAATATAGAGCTGTGAGTTAGTTTTCCTGGCTTCGTTGTATTCCAGTGAATGGCTGTTTTATAGTTTATTGAACTATCTCCCTGATGGGCATTTAATTGTTTTCCATTTTTCTGCTATTATAAATAGTGCTCCAGTGAACTCATTATACGTACATTTAAGTTTGAATTCTGCCTGCAAGGAAGAGTTAGTTAGCTGTATAGAGCAGATGAAATGAACTTAGAACTTTTCCTGTGGTCTGCCTGGATAAAGTGGTGGTTCAGACCAGCTTTGCTGGAAGCCAGCCTCGTTCTGATTGTTGGAGGTGAGAAGGTTTGTCCTGGTTCTCTGGATGTAAATCTGGGCTGAAGTGTTGTTTCTGTAAGAATATCCTTGGTGACCTAGTGGGATCTGATTTGGGATTTGCTTTTAAATGAGGAATGCCACGATTATGCTTCTTTCCATATTTGCAGTTTTTCAAGCCTTTGTCAATTTTAAAGTTGAGAATTTATTGTATCCTTATTGGAACAACACAGTGTTTGTGAAATGACGACATTTTTCTATAAATAGACATAGAGTAAATAGTTATTAATAATTGTTAAGGTATTTTAAAAACACTTTGTACCTAATCTTAAAATAATTTTTAGTTGCTTCCAATCCTGTGTAGCTTTAGCTTTCATATAATGTTCACAAAAGATTGTCTCTTACTTTTTACCTAAATTTCCTTTCTAACATCAGTATACTTTCTCAAGCCTTTTTTTCCTTCTTAGCCTTGCTAATTTTTAAGTCTTCCCTTTAAATTAAGAAAGGTTATTGATGGGTGATGGGATTATGAGAAGCTTTCACTTTCTTTTTTGTAAATCAAAGATACTAATTATTTAAGCCTTATTATTTTTTTTTTTCAAAGATTTTTATTTATTCAGCTTTTTCCCCCCAAAGCCCCAGTAGATAGTTGTATGTCATAGGTTCACATCCTTCTAGTTGCTGTATGCGGGACTCGGCCTCGCGTTGGACGGAGAAGTGGTGCCTCCGGGCGCTCCCGGGATCCGAACCCAGGCCGCCAGCATCAGAGCGCGCGCACTTAACCGCTAAGCCATGGAGCCGGCCCTTAAGCCTTATTTTTAAACTTAGAAAAACTTTTATAAAAAGTTTAACTGAGAAATAGTACATAATATTTTATTTTTTGTTTTGTAACCCAAGATGTTGGAGAATGCTGTGTTGAGTAGAGGAGTGATTAAGCCACCCTAAACTTGATTTTTCTCCTCCATTGCTTTCACAGCAGCCTGCTTGGTCTGTGAGATGCTTACCAACCATCTAGACACAAGCTTCTGTGTCTTGTAGATTCTGAAAGTTCTTGAGGGCGGGGTCCAGATCTCTCTCATTTCTCTTAACCTCCCATATCCCGTGAACAAGTAGGTGCTAAATGTGTTGAATTTATTTCTTTATTTCGTATACCTACGTGCAAAAATAGGAAGGATTCTTTTTCAAAATTGTGTTGTTATTAGGCTGGGGGATGTTTGGCTGATTTGAAAAATCCTGTTCAGCTGGGGGATGTGGCACGAGGGGTTGTGGTTGTGGTTTTGTCTTACGATGTTTTTCTTGATTAACATGACTGAGGTTCCCATTGACTGTGTAGAGCACAGTGAAGATGAGCCTTTTTAACATCTGTTTCATGTCCTTAAAAATTAGTATTCTAAGCTATTTGTGGGAACGATTTGAATAGGGCTGTTCCACAGGGAGTCATAAGTTAGGGATATAGGATGTTTTGGATAACTAATTTGGATTTTTTACTGGTTATTTGAAGGATTTAATTACCAGAACACTTTCATTTTTCAGCAAAACTATTTTTGTTTCAGTTCTTAAAAAATATATCATGAGCCAGCCGTGATGGCCCAGCAGTTAAAGTTCGGCAGTGTGTTCCACTTAGGCGGCCTGGGTTTGGTCCCCGGGCACGGAACCACACCACTTGTCTGTTAGTAGCCATGCTGTGGCAGCGGCTCACATAGAAGAACTAGAAGGGCTAACAACTAGGATATACAACTATGTACTGGGAATTTGGGGAGGGGGAAGAAAAAGAGAGGAAGATTGGCAACAGGTGTTAGCGTAGGGTGGATCTTTCCCAGGGTTGGACAAAAAGTGTATATATATCACACTTCCTTGCCACATTAGACAGGCAGAATAGAACTAACCATAATTTAATCTTTTCACAGTGAATTGGGGCTGCCACTATGTGTTCTACGAAAGGGATGTGTGGTGTAAGACACTAAGGGGAACCTGAAGAGACCTTAGGGAGCTTTCTTTCTTTCTTTTTTTTTTTTTTTGGTGAGGAAAATCAGCCCTGAGCTAACATCTGCCAATCATCCTCTTTTTTTGCTGAGGAAGACTGGCCCTGGGCTAACATCTGTGCCCATCTTCCTCCACTTTATGTGGGACGCTGCCACAGCATGGCCTGACAAGCGGCGCGTCCGTGTGTGCTCAGGATCCGAACCTGCGGAGCGCACGCACTTAACCCCTACGCCCCTAGCTTGCTTTCTTATATTACTCTCTTCCATCACCTTCCTTTTTTTAAAATATCATTTGCTTCTTTTAGAAGTAGAGGGAAGAATGACCTGGGAAGAGGAATATGGCCACCTTCCTGTAAGCAATAGTGAATCGAAGTTTGAAGCAGCCTTTACATTAAGTTGGTGTTCATTTTCATTGGCTTTAACTAAAAGTCATCTTTACTGTCTTTATCAAGGTCCTTTTGGCTTTTTTGGGTCATGCAGAGTCTTCAAAATCATTTGAACATCAGTAGTGTGATGTACCACACTAGCCTCTTGGTCAGGGGCAGCCTACTCTTTCATTTTGTAAGCATTAGATTTGTTGTTTAGGTGTAAGGATATCCATCTCTCAATTATTTAAAAAAGAAAGTGTCGTACCTCCTGTTGAAGAAGGCCTTGGTTTTGCATTGGTGTGTCATGGTTGCCTTTCAGTTCTCAGCCCCTCCTACCAGTTTTATTCTTTCTTCTTCCTGGTTTCTCAATTCCACTCTGCTCTAATGCAGCAGAACCTTTACTTTAAGGCCAACACCATGCCTAGAGTATCTTTTGGTTGGCAGGTTGTCCCATTGCAATACTTTTTTTTTTTTTTGTGAGGAGGATTGGCCCTGAGCTGACATCCATGGCAATCTTCCTCTATTTTGTATATGGGACACTGCCACAGCATGGCTTGAGGAGCAGTGTGTAGCTCCGCGTCCGGGGTCCGCACCCATGAACCCTGGGCTGCCTAAGTAGAGCACATGAACTTAACAACTATGCCACCAACCCGGCCCCAATACATTTTAAAATATATATATTTTATTTTACTTTAAAAAAGTATATTTTAAATGTATTTTCTTTAAAAAAATACATATATATTTTGGTTCTCAATTCTTCATGGTCTTGTGACTTTTTTATGACCATTCCTCTCCCCACCTCTTATTTATTTGACAGGGCAGGGCAGGATATTTGGGTGCTGGATTTGTGATAACTTCATTTGCTAGAAAAGTTTTCTTCAAAGATTTCTATCAAAAGTTTTGTATCAAAATTTTAACGTAGGAAATGATATACCTAGGAAATACCTATGGTTTATAAGGTGCATACAGTTTTAGACGTAGAGTACGAAGTTTATACACAGTGGAGTTAAGTCTGACTGGGAAGGTGGCCTACTAGAGGCTACGTACTAGGACAGGGCTCTGTGAATTAACTGGTAAGCTGATGCCTCCCCTCCCCACTCCTCATCCCTATCCCACCACCCATGAAAGTGTGCCCCTTCAAATATTACTTACCTTGTACTGGTAGAGAACTGGAAAGACTCAGTCATTAGAAATGATGGCTGAATTCCTAATATAAAATTTAAGAGCTGCTTTTATTTTTAAACAGGAGGAAATAAACTTCCTTTCTTTGGTTTCTGTACAGGTTCTAGTAAATACTGCTTGCTGTGTTCTGATGTTGGTGGCCAAGCTAATCCAATGTATTGTGTTTGGCCCTCTTCGAGTGAGCGAGAGACAGGTAAGTCCAGACATCTAGAAGGGATTCTTGTGACCAGATTTTTTTTTTTAGCTTTGTATTTGGTGTAATTTCAGACTTACAGAAAAGTTGCACGAATACTATGAAGAACTCCCACATTTCCTTTTCCCAGATTCACAGTTAACATTTTTTCCACTTGCTTTAACATTTGCCTTTTATTTATATATACGTATTTTTTCTGGTCCATTTGAGAGTAAGTTGTGGACATGATATCCTGTTACCCCCAAATACTTCAATATGTATTTCCTAAGAGCAAGGACCTTTTCTTATGTAACCATAGCACAATGATAAAAATCAAGAAATTTAGCATTGATAAAATATTTTATATAATCCACAGTCCATATTCAATGTAGCCAAGTTGTCTCAATATTGTTCTTCGTAGCTGTTTTTCCCATGACTTTTATGATGTAGTTTTTAAAGAAGCACAGGTTTGTTTTAGTTTGAATAATCATAAATATCGCTCTTTAGAATATGGGTTCTTTTCCAAAGCAATTTACTGAGATTTTAATTTTTCCTTTTGGAAAAGTAAATTAAGATTCAGCGTTTTACAAGCAGAAAATTAGGTGACTTGTTGCTGTTTCAGGTGAGATAGTCTGACGTTTGAACATTACTCTCAGAATGTATATATGAGCAGGACATGCCTTCATTAAGGAATTATGCCACAAGCATACTATACGGATTGGCAGTTCCCCAAGGATTTTAGTGGATAGAGTGTAGAATGGTGTGTTTTAAAATAGGAATTTAGAACTGGCCTTTAAAACAACAACATACAAGCAAAACTGTATTTTACTTTATTTTATCCCAGTCATAAGACACAAGAACCTTCTACATTAAAAGTACAACAATGGCTTCACTCCTTACCTACTCTTTGAACCCAAGTCTCCTGTTATCACATCAGCCAAGGTCCTAGTTTAGAGCTGAAATGCAATTACGGTGTGGTCGAGCCCTTCTGTGCTGTTCTGAGCAGGACTGTTTGTCTTCCCAGAGATTTTTCATTAGTGAGTATGCAGCACTTTCTCCAAAATACCAACTCCAGAAGCCTCCCAGATGGGGTCAGGAGAGTGTAGAGTGTTTCAGTAGGATACAAAGGCTCCTTTTGATACTTCTTTATTCTTCAAGAACTTTTGACGATGGGCCAGAAATTGGTCAGGCCAGGCAAGCCATCTAATGGCTGGTGGATTGATCTGGCACCAGTGGGCCTTATATACTGCTTTCTTTGTCCTAAAATGTTAAATATTAGTTCAAAATTTACAGAAAACATAATAGCCTTGGAATATTACAGAGATTTTTACAATACCTAGAGGTAATTATAATGGGCACACTTGTTACTCAACTCCACTTTCAGTTTTTTCAGTACAGATCACATCTTTCATGCTGTTCTGTGATGACTTATTTTTTGACTGATGTCATCTAGTAGCATTTATTAAGCAGCATTTTGAGTTAGAACTCTACAGAATTGATATGAGTTTGCTCTGTGGGTGCTTAAAGTTCAAGAAATAGAGTAATGCTAGAGGCAAAGACACTGAATACCTAAAATGGGACAAACTGTTAAGTGGAGGTTTAGAACAAGGAATTTTGTTTTAAGCTTAAATGCCTTAATGCCTACTATGGCACTTGTCTAAGCACTTTACATATATTAACTTATTTAGTTCTCCCAACCCTTCGATGAGATATATGCCATTGTTATAAGACCCATCTTATAGATGGGAAAACCAGAGCACAGAGATCTTAAGTGACTTGCCCGAAGTCACACAGCAAATAGGTGGCGGAATGCAGATCCAAAACCAGGGCACAAGATGTCCTAGCTTCACCTTGTGCTTTACCTGCCCCAGATCTGGAAACAGACATTCACCAAGGATTCCTAGTTTTGTTCTCTGTACAAAGGGTGTACAGTCAGAGTACAGTGTGTAAAAGTTCTCAAAATAATTCTTTAAGTAGTCATGTTATCAGTTTGTTACACATTTAGGTTTAATTATTTCTGTTTTTATTCGTTTGCTTTTTTTCTGTTTTAATTTTTTGAATTTGTGAAACATTTACGTGGTTCAAAACTATACATAAAAGTATACTTAGAAGTCATGTTTTCATCCTTATCCTCTCACTCAGTTCTCACAACTCCTGTAGTTGGCACGATAGTCTATTTTAATATCTGTTGGCTAGACGATGCTCATTGCCCTTTTCTTCAGGATAGTAAAGATTTTTCAAATGGGAAGTCCTCAGTGTAGGAGAGAGCACAGTGAAGCAGATACACTTACACACTGCTCGTGGGAGTGTACATTTATACAGCTTCTTTGGATATCAGGTGGATGTTACTTATTAGAAACCATAAAAACATTTGTGCTTTTGATTCCATAATGCTGAAGAAATAGAAACTTATACAAAGGTATTCATTGCAACATATTCTGAATGGTGAAAAGTTAAAAACAATTTCATTATCCATCTGTAACCATTAAAATGGTATACTCAGAGAATATTCATTGTAAGGTTCTCACAATATGATAAGTGAAATAAAGCAGTGTACAAAAATTAATGTTTTGCACATAGGGAGAAGACTAGAAAAATGCATAAAAATGTTAAGGCATTTTTGTTTTACTTTTTTTTGTACTTTTTCATTTGGTATTGATTATGGGCTGGCAAATGAGCATACGTTATTTTTTAATCTGAAGGACGTTAAAAAAAAAAATTTGATCCTTTCTATTGTTTGTTTTTAGAATCCAGAGAACAGAAGTATTAAAAATGCTACTTGTAGCCCTCACTATTCTTTTTATTTTGCTTTGGAAGTATATGTATTATTTCTTAATACATAAGGTACTAGACTAATATCATTCCCCTTTTAATGGCTAAGATTCCATAACTGACTGAGGTTACAATTCAGAGTCTATAGATTATTTTCTAGGTGTCTTATCTTTATTATTCAGAGGGTTTGTTTTTGTTTCCTTGCCTTCTGTTTCCTGAGAAAGCTCAGTATAGAATATTTTTTCCATAGAAGCCAGTTTTTGTTATGTTCACTTCTCTTAAATGGGTTAGGTGGAAAGGTACTCACTTTTATAAATATTTTTCCTTTTAGCACCTCAAAGACAAGTTTTGGAATTTTATTTTCTACAAGTTCATTTTCATTTTTGGTGTGCTGAATGTCCAGACTGTGGAAGAGGTGGTTATGTGGTGCCTCTGGTTTGCAGGACTTGTGTTTCTGCATCTGATGGTTCAGCTCTGCAAGGACCGATTTGAATACGTGAGTTTTTAGCCAAGCTCTTTGCTTGCTTAGTCACACGTTTGCCAGGTTTGAAATGTGTATAGTAGTCCCCCATTATCTGTGATTTCACTTTCCGCGGTGTCAGTCAACTGCAGTCTGGAAGCAGATGCTCCTCCTTCTGATGTATCGTCAGAAGATCAGTAGTAGCCTAACGCTGTGTCACAATGCCTACGTTGTTCACCTCACTTCATTTCATCACGTAGGCATTTTATCATCTCACATCGTCAGAAGAAGGGTGAGTACAGTACAATAAGATATTTTGAGAGAGAAAGAGACCACATTCACGTAACTTTTATTACTGTATATTGTTATAATTGTTCTATTTTATTATTAGTTATTGTTGTTAATCTCTTACTGTGCCTAATTTATAAATTAAACTTTATCATAGGTGTGTATGTATAGGAAAATACATAGTGTATGTAGAGTTTGGTGCTATCTGCAGTTTCAGGCATCCACTGGGGTCTTGGAACATGTCCCCCGTGGATGAGGGGGGCTACTGTAACATGAATGAGCCGTAACAGGCGTGTTCAGGGTAGCTCTCCAGGGGAAGGCTCCTGGATCTGTACCCACCACCTGTTTCTTGAGGAACATTTTGCAGCAGCCAAGAACTGCAGGATCAATGTCTTCTAGAGAGGTTTCCTCCCCTACCCAGTAGTGTATTACATTACTACAGCCCACGTGGGGTCAGTTCGCCTACACAAACTTTTGATCACAGTGCAAGGAAACCTTAATATATAAACTGAATAAAAGCTGGTCTCGTCCAGGTATTTTCTGTTCCAGTCTCCTTTTATTTTTTCCCTTCCTACTCTGGTTCTTGGAGCTCTTCTTTCTGACTGGTTTACACTGTTTCTACCCCTGGGTGAGGTCTGAATTACCTCTCTTGGCTTCCATGGTCCCAGGAGAAGTGAATCCTTTTCTGTCTGGGTGCAAGATCTGCCTCTTGGCTTCAGATCAGAGCTGTGCAGGTGAACCCTCACTCATTAGTGCTCCTGAACTAGTCTCAGGGATCCCAGGTAAATGTGCACCTGCAGTCCTGCCCCTCAGTTAAACCCACTCCTGAGCCTTATGTGCCACTTTCTTTACCTAGTCCTCGTGGACCAGGTGGTCCTTGCACCTCTGTGTGAGCTGATCTCAGTCTCAAAGCCTTTAGCTGTTTCACAGTTCAGCCCCATTCCTGCTCCAGAACAGGAGCTTCTAACCTCCCTAACTGGTTTGTTACCTACACCTTCCCTCCCGCTCAGGAGTCACAGCTCCAGGCTATCTTTTCCAAGCTCTTGCTTCCCCTTGTATCCCATTAACATGGCATTATAATAAGTCTGCACCTGGATTACATTTCAGTTGTCCTAGCCCCAAGCAGACCTAGGACCGTCCTCCAAGTGAATTTTGGAGAGGAGGGCTAGAGCAAGATTGAGGAAGAAGCACAACATAACGTGGTGCTGTCCTGAATCCTGTTGAATGTTAGAGAATTACAGACCTTTGGAAACTTGCTTCTAGAGATTTATAATCCCAGTGGTAGGAGGATCCTTGAGAATTTGAGATGAAAGTATAATGTGTGTTGTTATATTTCATAAATCAAATGATAAAGATCTCTGAATATCTGCTCCTACTCATATTTAGGTTGGGTGGAGAGTTTTGACCATCTAGTAATGGGATCCATTTCTGGGCTTTGCATTCGGCCATACAGCTAAGCACAGATCCCCAGGCAAAGACAGCGAGATTAACCTTGAGTTTCTCAGTGAGGTTCAACACTGCGATGAAGAAGAATGAGCTTCCTTCTCCTGTTTTGTGTGTTTCAGCTTTCCTTTTCTCCCACCACACCTATGAGTAGCCACGGCCGAGTTCTGTCTCTGCTGGTCGCTATGCTGCTCTCCTGCTGTGGATTAGCGGTTGTCTGTTGTGTCACAGGCTACACCCACGGGATGCACACACTGGCTTTCATGGCCGCGGAGGTAAGAGGCAGACACGGGTTTTTGCTGTGGTTATATTCCTGTATCTTTTCAAGGAAGCTAGAGGATTATTGACAGATGATTTTCACCCATGAAGTGACTGATGGATATTTGGTTTTTCATTTAAACAAGTGTTTTTGGAGTTGGTTTGTTTTGTGTTGGGTACTGGTACCAAATGCTTTCGTGTGTGTTATTGCATGTAATCCTTGCTACAACCTAATAAAAAGTAATTATTTTTGCCAACATTTATATAGTACTTACTATATGCTGAGGATTATTCTAAACACCTTACATGTATTGACTCATTTTAATATTCCTATTTATGAGTGGGGAAGCAGGCATAGAGGGTGAAGTGAATTGCTTAAGGTTCCAGAGTGACAAGTGGTACAGTCTGAGTCCTGTGACTCTTCCCCTTAAGATGTTATAAACATGATTGGTGATGATTAATAAGCAAGTACTCTGTAATTGGTTTTCTTAGGGCATAAATTAAGCTTTTACAGAATAATATAGGTTGTAAACTATATTCATTATTTTGAAAGAATAATCTGAGATATTCATGTATATTTTAAAATTTACTTTTTAAATCTTTCGAAAAATACCCATTTCTGTTCAATAGAAATCAAAATTTTTTGTATATCTTTATATTCAGTGGTCATATTTGCTTTTTTCCTCAGGCCAAAGGCAAAATACTTCTATCTTGCCCATAATAGCTATTATTAATGGAAAAAATGAAATAATATACTGAAGCTAATTAGCTTATATCAAAACACAACTAAGTTTGAACTATTAATTGGGAATTTGTTAGAATAGGGTTAAAATTTTGCTTAATAGCATTCATTTCAGAGTATAATATAGTAATGTAAGTAAAATTAGAAAAGGAACATCATGTAAGTACTTAATAAAAACATTTGCAATCCTAGTTTACTACTTTCTATGTATGAAAGGTATACGGCTATATTTCCTCTTGAAAAAAATGTTATTTACAACTTTATTTACAGTGACTTAAGTTAATTAGTTTGCTTTAGATATATTTTATTATAAATCACCATTCGAATGATTCTGTGTTTTCCTTTTTTGGTTCTCTACCTTTTAATTACTATTAGGCCAAACTTTGAAAAAGGTACACCTAAAAGTAAAGACATTTAAATTAGGGCTATTGGGTCATACTGTAGTGCATATTTTTATTTTAGCTCATTACTATTTATTCTTTTAAGGTAATTTATCATGTTATAGATTTGATATTTTGAACTAAATCATATTTTTATATTTATAGTTTTTCTCTTCTATGTAAAATATTTTCCATTTATAAATAGAGATTTCCTAATCTCAAACATAAATAACATAACAGTTCTATACTGGTAGATTAAGAGGAAATTTTTCTTAATATCAGTTTCTATAATGCAAAATACCATGAGGGGCTTATTTTGTTTTTTATTTCCTTCGTTCTCTTTTCTTCTCTGTATGCAAAGGGAATGCACAAAGAGTTACATAGAGAGCAGGTACTTGTATCTAGGATGGTAGCACCTAAACTATCCTTTGGGTGTAGGGCCACCAGGTATTTGTACCAGGTATTCAGACACTCTTTTAGGTATCTAAAGCTGTATAAAATGGTGACTTAATACTGTATAAAATAGAAGTGATCATCAAACTACTAGAATGAACCTCAAGATTGTAGAAGGCATCCCCAGGAGATGGACAGGTGTAATTGGTTGTCACCTATTAACAGGAAAAGGCTCAAATAAAAGTTGGGTTTCTAGGTCATGAAAATATTCCATGGAAATTTGAAGCAGATGAAATGAAATGGTTGGTAAACTTGAACTACCTGCTTTTTTTTCCCTTTTAGTTTTATTGAGATATAGTTGACATACAGCATAATGACTTTAAGGTGTACAGCATAATGACTTGACTCACGTGTATTATGAAAGGATTACCACGATAAGTTTCATTAACATCTATCATCTCATATTGATAGAAAAAAAAGGCGTGATGAGAATTTTTAGGATCTACTCTCTTTGCGATTTTCAGTATACCATTCAGCAATGTTAACTGTAGTCACCATGCTGTACATTACACCCCCAGGACTTATTTGTCTTATGACTGGAAGTTTGTACCTTTCGACCACCTTCCTCCAATTCCCCCATCCCCTACCCCTTGAGCAACTTGCTTTTTAGTTGAACTGAGAAACGTTTGTCTTTCATCATTTTGTAAAGTAAGTTTGGCCTGAGCAATCCTAAATTTTACAAAAAAGAAAAAATACGTCTCTTTTTTTACAGTCTCTTCTTGTGACAGTGAGGACTGCTCATGTGATTTTACGGTGAGTAGAAATTGAGGAGGGAGGTGATTGAGGTGTACTCATACAGTTGATTTTAAGATATGTCTAAAATATAAAAATGTGACTCTACTGTATCATGTTTAAACCAAATTCGATTGTAACAGTAAATTATTAAAATTATTTTTCTCTATTCACTGCAGATATGTAATTCACCTCTGGGACCTCAACCATGAAGGGACGTGGGAAGGAAAGGGGACGTATGTCTATTACACAGATTTTGTCATGGAGCTCACTCTCTTGTCCCTGGACCTCATGCACCACATTCACATGTTGGTACGTTTCCTCAGAAGGGCCTCTAACAGAGAGCTAAGTTTTTCAGAATCAGGAGCCTGGTTAGTACATTAACAAATGAAACTTTTGTGGATGAACCATTGAAAGACTATAAAAACTAATGAAGCTGCGCCCCCCTGCCCCCCCTTTTGCCACTGGGGTTAAAGCAGTGTTGTGGAACCAGTTTGGCAGGTGCCCAGCTCTGAAGGAATTTGCTAAGTCTCCTGAGAGATTTCTGCTACCAAGTCAATAGATAATTCTTTTAGCATGAAATTAAGGGACTACCTCTCTCCATAGTTTCTGTGGCTTCTCACATTTAGCAGTTACTTTGTAGATGGTAATAGGAATTCTTGCAGTGTGAGCTACTTCATTGATTCATAAGTTTTCCATCTTTGTAGTTAAAAACAAAGTCTTTAGGGGCCAGCCCTGTGTTGTAGTGATTAAGTCTGGTGTGCTCCGCTTCAGCAGCCTGGGTTCGCAGGTTTGGATCCTGGGCATGGACTTATACCACTCATCAAGCCACCTTGTGGCAGTGACCCACATACAAAATAGAGAAGATTGGCACAGATGTTAGCTTGGGGCTAATCTTCCTCAAGCAAAAAAAAAAAAAAGTGGAAGATAGGCAACGGATATTAGCTCAGAGCAAATCTTTCTCACCAAAAAAAAAACAAAACACAAAGTCTTTATACTTAATTCCTCCTACTTCATTGTTTATATATTACTTTGGTGTACAAGAAATTACAATGTTGGAAACCTGCTTCATTGGTTAGCACTTCAGTGATCTAATAATGATGAGAATCAACGTATTTGGTGGGCAATTTATTTAAATTATAAGCCTATCAAAGTAGCATTTAAAAATTATTAGGGTTAGACACAGCACATTTCTCAGTCTACTTTTTGAAAGTAGCTTTGAAAACATACCTAAAAAATGTATAGCTTTTGTTAAAAAAAAAAAAAAAGAGACCCCCCTCCCAAACAAATGCCCAGAGATAACTGTTGACATTTTGTTGTATTTACTGTTTCTTCATATATTCAAATATATACTTTCATAAATTAAGATCATATTTTGGACATATGGTTTAGGTTTTTTTTAGCTAATGTATTACGTACATTTTCCTGTGCTAGCAACAATTCTAAACCATTTTATGCCTTCAAGATAAAAGTTCCACCATATAAATGTGTGATGATTTAGTTAACCAACTCCTATAATGGGTTATTTAGATTATGTTCGGTGCTTTGCTATTTCATTTCTTTACATAATTTTTTAAAATCACATATTAGTTGGGCTGGCCCGGTGGTGTAGTGGTTAAGTTCGTGTGCTCCACTTTGGTGGCCCAGGGTTCACGGGTCCGGATCCTGGGTGTGGACTGTGCACCGCTTATCAAGGCATGCTGTGGCAGCATCCCATATAAAGTAGAGGAAGATGGGCACAGATGTTAGCCTAGGACCAATCTTCCTCAGCAAAAAAGAAAAAAAAAATCACAGTATTAGTTTTTTTAAGGTAGTTTTATCCTGCTTTTTTTAATTAACAAATATTATTTTCCCATATAATTAATCTTCAAAAATATTATATATAAAATATAACATTAATTTGTAATTATATTTTATAATAAATATAATTAATGACTATATAATATTACATTATATGAGTTTACAACTTAACTATTCCTGTACTGGGCGTTTTGTTATTTCCTGATTTTCTTTTTCATAATTGCATGGATGGACATCTTTTTTCTTTTTTTTTTTCCTGTGAGGAAGATCGGCCCTGAGCTAACATCTGCCAGTCCTCCCCTTTTTGCCAAAGGGAGACTGGCCCTGGGCTAACATCCATGCCCATCTTCCTCCACTTTATATGGGATGCCGCCACAGCACAGCCTGCCAAGCGGTGCATCGGTGTGCACCCGGGATCCGAACCTGCGAACCCCGGGCTGCCACAGCAGAGCGCGCACACTTAACCGCTTGCGCCAGCAGGCTGGCCCCTCGGATGGACATCTTTTTGCATAAAGCTTTTAAATTTCTGGTTAGTTTCTCAGGAAAGATTGCTGGTGATAGAATGACTAGGCCAAAGAGCATGTACGTTGTGTAGAAAGTGAGATAAATGTGTGCACCTGCTTCCTGAACGGTCGTTCAGTTCACCTTCGCCAGCAGTAAGAGCTTCTGGTGCACACCTCGCTGTCATCACTCCCAAGTCCACGTTCATTTTTGTTGTGTGTTTTATTCTCTTCCCCTCGTCTTAAGTTGTTCGGCAACATCTGGTTGTCAATGGCCAGCTTGGTCATCTTCATGCAGCTGCGTTACCTCTTCCATGAGGTGCAGCGTCGAATCCGCCGGCACAAGAACTACCTGCGTGTGGTTGGGAACATGGAAGCCAGGTAAGTGAGCGCTACTTGACGTTGCTAAGTTTACTCGTTTGAGTCTTTAAGAATAACAGACCCCAGATTAAATGAGAACTTACTTTTGTAAACTGTTCTCAGAATGGTGACGAGGATGGGCTCTGGCTTCAGACTGCCTGGGTGTGAATCCCCACTTAGTTGCCACGTGATTTTGGGCAGTTTACTTAGCTGCCTGTGTTCCAGTTGCTGCTTCTCTAGAGGTGACAGCAGAGCCTTCTTCCTGGAGCTGTTGGGAGGGTTCCGTGGGATGACACATGTAATATTTAGATAGTACTGGGTCCGTTGTATGTGCCCAGTAAATGTTAGGTTCTTCTTCTTATGTCATTGTTTTTACCATCATTATTATTAAATGGAAGCTTCCTTGGGCTTCTGCCCTCTTTATTTTATGAAGATGAGTCTCACTTATTCCTAACACATGCGTCTTTACACACATACATATACACACACACTCTTTCACACTCTTAACCTCATTGAAGGAGGCATTCACTTGCCAACTTGAGGCTTAACCAAGCCTGAAGGTGTGAGGTTGATGGGTATCCTCTTTGTGTCCAAGGAAACAGTTTGGCCCTCTGGGGGTCTTAACTCCTCTGATTTGCTCAGAAGTGTTCCTTCAACTCATCACTAACAGGAGCCATTATTAAGACAAAGTTAGTACAGTAGTGTACCACATAACAATGTTTTGGTCAACAATGGACCGCATGTACAATGGTGGTCCCGTAAGATTAGTGCCATATAGCCTAGGTGTGTAGTAGGCTGTACCATGTAGGTTTGTGTAGGTGCGCTCTATGATGTTTGCACAACTACGAAATCGCCCGACACATTTCTCAGAATGTATCCCTGCTATTAAGTGATGCATGGCTGTATAAGTTTCTTACTGGCTCTTTGATAGGCTATGAAGAGAAAGCAAGTGTAATGTTGATGGTTGGAAATTTTTTACTGAACACGGTTCCTCTGTAGCTGTGCTGTTAGAAAGGTAAGGTCTATAAAGTGGCTCAGTATATGTGAATTGACAGAGATCCCTGCTGGGTGCGTTGTGTTTTTTTTACAGGTTTGCAGTTGCAACTCCAGAGGAGCTGGCCGTCAATAATGATGACTGTGCCATCTGCTGGGACTCCATGCAGGCTGCAAGGAAGCTGCCCTGTGGACACCTTTTCCACAAGTAGGAGCTTCGTGAAGGGCCACATGGGACTGGTGTTCTGTCTAGGGCACGTGGGTGCTTTTTGTGCCCATGCTCAAAACAAATCCTAGCAGAGGAGTGGGGACGTTACCCCAGACTGGCCATGGTGCTGGTACTGAGTGATGTGGGAAGCTTTGGGGTGTCCTCCTTTATCCCTCAGCCTTTTCCCTACATGGCAGGGCTGTCCCCCACTCACAATTTGCCATCTTAATTTCTGGGTGAGTTAGCTGTCTTCATGTTCCTTCTCCATTTAAGTTCTGAGGTATAGCAAATATGCCTGTAAGATTTAAAAGAAAGGAACGGGGGAATCCTTGCTTTCAAACAGCTTATTCTGTAATTGGAGCAAGAAAATGTATATTTTTGCATTTTGCACATGCCCAAAAGCAACATAAAAACATGCACCAGGGAAGTGGGCTGAGAGGGGGACTGGACCAGGAACACCAAACAGTCCAGGAGAACTGTGACTGTGTTATCAGTGATTACAAAATAAGATATTCTGAAAACCTCCAAGACTGGAGTAGATCTGTCAGTGGAACAGGCTCAGTCCTTTCCCAGGAGTCCTGTTGTCTCCTTGAGTTGCAGTCTTTGCTGCCTCACATTATTCATTTTTAGAGATCTCATAGGGGCTCTGGCTGTTTAACCTAAATCATTCTGTCTATAGAGTGGGCGTTTTTGGTGTTGATGGACCTTCAGATATCTTTTGGCCTTTTCCATCTGTGGTCAGTTTTGCATATTGAGAAAGTTTTAATCTTTACACCTTTAATCTTCCTCTCCTGATTTTATATTCCCAAATCATTTTTCGTCTCCTTTTTAATATTAGAAGGGCTTTGGTGGTCTGGGGTATCAGGAACTCAGCAAATGTACTGACATATGTTTTATGTGCTGGGTGCTGTGTTGGGTTCTGGGGATAAAATAAAAAGAACAGATACAGTCTGCTTTCACAAAGCTCACATCCTAATGGAGGAGACAGACATGAATTAACCAGGCACATTTAGGAGTCTGTAAGTGTAAATTGAGATAAGTGCTCTACAGACAAGGAACATGGTTCTCGAGGGCTTGTAACAAAAGGATCTGACTCAAACTTGGAGGAGGTGACTCTTGAGGCTGAGTAGGAGTTAAGTAGCAAAAAGAGGGATCAGGCGGAAGAATATTTGAGACAGAGGGAACATCTCTGTTGCAGGAGGGAGTGTGGTGTGTTGAAGGAACTAAAAGAGAACCCAGGTGTTTGCTGAGGCAGGAGAAGCAGGCAGGAGCTAGGCCCTGCAGGGGCTTGAGGGCCACTGGAAAGGGTGAGGAGCCGTTAAAGGTTTTAAAGTAGGGGTTAGGGATCAGGTTTGCAGCTTGAAAAGATCAGGGGCCCTAGTTAGTAATGGCTGCAGTGGTTCAGGTGTGCGTTGACAGTAGCTTGGACTGTGGTGCTAGAAGTGGAGTTGGAGAGAAGTGGACGTATTTGAGAAGGGTGAGGAAACACGTGGTGTCAGACTGGCTGTGGGAATGTGAGGACTATAAGGTGTCAGGGATTCTCCTGGTTTTGCAGCTGTGCAACTGGATGGATAGTGGTGCTGACTGTTGAGATAGGAAGACCAGAGAATTCACACATATTTCTCAAAAACCTTTCAGTTAGTCCCAAAGGAGCTTGGAGACAGTTGGGAAGAATAACTCAAAGAATGTATTTTAGCCCAGAAGAAATGGTTTCAAGCACATGATTAGATTAGTTTTGGGATTTAATTTTTTTGAGTAAGGTGAAAGTCACGTAACGTACAATTAACCATCTTAAAGTGTACAATTCACTGGCAGTTTGTGCATTCCCAATGTTGTGCAACCACTTGCACACTCCTCTCTAGTTTCAAAACTTTTTCATCACTACAGAATAACACCTCATACTCATTAAAGTCATCACTCCCCATTCCTCCCTCCCCCATCACCTGGCAACCACTAATCCGCTTTCTGTCTCTATGGATTTGCCTATTCTGGACAGTTCATAGAAAAAAGAATCATACAATAGGTGATCTTTTGTGATTGGCTTCTTTCACTTAGCATGAAGTTTTCAAAGATTTTATTTATTTTATTTTTTTGCCCCCAAAGCCCCAGTAGATAGTTGTATGTCATAGCTGCACACCCTTCTAGTTGCTGTATGTGGGACTCGGCCCCAGGATGGACAGAGAAGTGGTGCCTCAATGCGCACCCGGGATCCGAACCCGGGCTGCTAGCATCGCAGCGCGCGCACTTAACCACCAAGCCACAGGGCCGGCCCAGCATGAAGTTTTCAAAGTCATCCAAGTTGTAGCGTGTATGGGTACTTCATTGCTTTTTATGGCTAAATTTAAATAATTTTATAATAATTAAACAATTTGTTTATCCATTCATCCATGGATGGACATTTGGGTTATTTCTACTTTTTAGCTATTGCAAATAGTGCTGCTATCACATTTGTGAACAGGTGTCTGTTTGAGTACCTGTTTTTAATTCTTTTGGGTAGATACCTAGGAGTGGAATTGTTGGGTCATATGGTAATTCTGTTTAACTTCTTGAAGAACCACCAGACTTTTCCACAGCGGCTGCACCATTTTACATCCCACCAGCAATGTATGAGGGTTCTAATTTCTTCACATCCTCAACAATACTTATTATTTTCTGTTGTTCTTATTATAGCCGTCCTAGTGGGTGGAAAGTGGTATCCCCTTGTGGTGGTTTTTCTTTTGTTTTTGAGTGATAATTCTCAAATGTAATTTTTTATTGTGGTAAAATATACATAACATAAAATGTACCATTTTAACTATTTTTTAAGTGTACAGTTCAGTGGCATTAAGTACTTTCACGTTGTTGTGCAAACATCACCACCATCCATTTCCAGAACATTTTCATCTTTCCAAACTGAAATTCCGTACCCATTAAACATCAAGTTCCCATTCCTCTCACCCCCCAGCGCTTGGCAACCACCATTCTATTTTCTGTTTTTATGAATTTGACTACTCTAAGTACCTTTTATAAGTGGAATAGTACAATATTTGTCCTTTTGTGTCTGGCTTATTTCACTTAGCACAACGTCATTTATGTTGTAGCATGTGTCAGAATTTCATTCCTTTCTAAGGCTGAATAATATTCCATTGTATGTATATACCACATTTTGCTTATCCATTCATCTGTTGAGGGACATTTGGGTAGTTTCTACCTTTTGGCTATCATGAATAATGCTGCTATGAACATGATTGTACAAATATCTTTTTGAGACCCTGCTTTCAATTCTTTTGGGTATATACCCAAAGGTGGAATTGCTGGGTCGTATGGTAATTCTACGTTTACTTTTTTGAGGAACCAGTTTCCACAGTAGGTGTACTATTTTACATTCCTACTAGCAGTGTACAAGGGTTCCAATTTCTGCACATCCTCACCAATATTTGTTATTTTCAGTTTTTTGGATAATAACCATCCTAATGGGTATGAAATGGTATCTCATTGTGATTTTGATTTGCATTTCCTTAATGATAAATGACGTTGACCATTTTTTCACATGCTTGTTGGCCATTTGTATATGCTCTTTGGATAATGTCTATTCCAATTCTTGCCCATTTTTTTATTGGATTGTCTTTTTGTTGATGAGTTGTAAGAGTTCTTTATATATTCTGGATGCTAAACCTTTATTAGATGTATGATTTGCAAGTATCTTTTCTCATTCTGTAGCTTGTCTTTTCACTTTCTTGATGATGTCCTCTGATGCACACAAGTTTTTAATTTTTGTGAAGTCCAGTTTACTTATTTTTGTTTTTTGGTTGCTCATACTTTTAGTGTCAAATCTAAGAATCATTTCCAGCCAAATCCAAGGTCAGAATAATTTACCCCTGTGTTTTCTTCTAATAATTTTATGGCTTTAGCTCTTATATTTATGTCATTGATCCATTTTGAGTTAATTTTTGTACATGAAGTGAGGTAGGGGTCCAACTTCATTCTTTTGATGTGGTTGTCCAGTTGTCCCCACACCATTTGTTGAAGAGTCTATTCTTTCCCCATTGAGTGGTCTTGGCACCTTTGTCAAAATCAATTGGCCATAGATGTTTCAGTTTATGTCTGGACTCTCAGTTCTATTGCATTGGTTCATATGTCTATCTTTATTCCAGTACCATGCTGTTTTCATTACTGTAGCTTTGTAGTAAGGTATGAAATTAGGAAGTGGTGAGTGAGTCCTCTAACTTTTTCAATAATGTTTTGGCTGTTTGGGGCTCCTTGCAATTCTAAATGAATTTGAGGATCAGCTTTTCCATTTCTGCAAAAAAGGCCATTGGAATTGAATAGGGATTACACTGAATCTTAGATCACTTTGGGGATTACTTCTATCTTAACAATATTGTCTTCCACTCCATGAACATGGGGTGTCTTTCCTTTTATTTAGGTCATCTTTAATTTCTTTCAGTAATCTTTTATAGTTTTTATTGTCAAGTCTTTCGTCTCCTTGGTTAAATTTATTCCTAGCTATTTTACTGTTTTGGACTATGTAAATGAAATTGTTGTCTTAATTTCTTTTTTTTGATTATTTATTGCTGGCATATAGAAACATAACTGATTTTTACTTGTTGCTCTTGTATTATGCAGCTTTACTTAATTTGTTTTGTGTGTATGTGTATTGTTTAGGTTTTCTATATATAAGATCATGTCATTTACAAATAGAGACAGTTTTACTTCTTCCTTTCCAATTTGGGTGCCTTTATTTCTTTTTCTTGCCTAATTGCTCTGTCTAGGACTTCCAGTACAATGTTGAACAGCAGTGGTGAAAATGAACATCCTTGTCTTGTTCCTGACCTTAGAGGAAAAGCTTTCAGTCTTTCACCATTGAGTATGATGTACCTGTGGATTTTTCATAAATACCCTCTATCATGTTCAGGAAGTTCCCTCCTATTCCTAGGATGCTGAGTATTTTTATCAGGAAAGAGTGTTCAATTTTGTTAAATGATTTTTCTGCATCTGTTGAGATGATCATGTAGTTTGTTTCCTTTGTTCTGTTAATGTGGTGTGTTACATTGATTCATTTTCTTATGTTCAACCACACTTGCATTCCTAGGATAAATCCCACTTGTTCATGGTGTGTAACCTTTTTAATGTGCTATTTGATTTGGTTCACTTGTATTTTATTAAGGATTTTTGCATCTATAGTCACACGAAACATTGGTCTGTAATTGTCTTTTCTTGTGGTACCTGTGTCTGGTTTTGCTATTAGTGTAATGCTGGTCTCATAGTAAGTATGTGTTAGGAAGTTTTCCCTTCTATATATTGGGAAAGTTTGAGTAGGATCGGTGTTAATTCTTCTTTAAATATTTGATAGAATTCACCAGTGAAGTCATCTGGTCCTGGGCTTTTCTTTTTTGGGAGATTTTTTGAATGATTCAATGTCTACTTGTTGTAGGTCTGTTGAGATTTTCTCTTTCTTTTTGAATTAATTTTGGTAATTTCTGTGTTGCTAGGAATTTGTCCATTTTATATATATTATCTAATTTGTTGGAGTATAATTATTTCCAGTGTTCTGTTATAATCCTTTTAATTTCTATAAGGTTGATAGTAATGTTCACACTTTCATTTCTGATTTTAGTTATTTGTAGCTTCTCCCTTTTTTCTTAGTCTAGCAAAAATTTGTCAGTTTTGTTGATCTTTCCAAAGAACCAGCTTTTGGTTTCATGATTTGCTCTATTGTTTTTCCGTTCTCTGTTTCATTTATCTCTGTTCTAATCTTTATTATTTCCTTCCTTCTGCTGGCTTTCAGTTTCATTTCCTCTTTTTCTAGTTTTCTAGTTCTGTAAGTTATAAAGTTATTGTTGGTTTGAAGTCTTTTTTCTTTTTAGGCATTTTTAGCTATAAATTTGTCTCTGAACATTGCTTTCACTGCATCCCATAAATTTTGGTATGTTGTGTTTTGGTTTAATTTGTCTCAAAGTATTTTCTAATTGCCAAAGTGATTTCTTCTTGACCCCATGGTTGTTTAAGAGTTAGGATTTAATTTTTAAAACACTTGTCTGCTTTGGGTTGAGTGAGAAAACCATTGTTAGGGTATCATCTTGGTTTGCTTTACTTTGTAGCTTTGCTTAATAGATAGGAGCAGAATTGTGTGGTGGTAATCTAAGGGCAAATTCATTCGTCATAAAGCTAAATGTCTAGATTTCAATAGACTGTAGCTAGATAATAAGTTGCTATAGAAGATGTTTTTGCAAGATTTCAGTCCAATGAATATTTAATTACATTGAAGTGTCATACTTAGAAGGAGGAGAAACAGTCCTTCAAAAGAATATTATTATAGTTATATAGAAAAATATCTGTTGAAAAGTTTGGTTTCTTTTGCGATGGAAGTCTAGCTTTTGTTTTTTTTAAAGCAACTGTATCTACCTAGTTGTACTCACCTTGGAGTTTTTAGGCTATTATATTTAATGTGGGAGATTTTTGCAGAATATGAAATAAAATTAGATTTGCTTATAAAAAGTGTGTCACAGTGTAGCATTATTGGAAGACAAAGATCTTAGGACACTTTTGTAGTCCCACACAAGGCTAATTTTACTAAAGGTGTGATTTAAGGGTGTTCATTAAGGGGAAGTGAACTTGTAAAAAATATAATCATTTATTTGTCTGTTAAATGATCACAAACAGGAATTATAGGTACTTTGTTTCAAAATGTGATAGAGCTGGATGTACATATTCATTATTTTGGAATATTACTGTTGTACACTTTTCTGGCACAGGTAGTAAGAAGTAGCTCCATCTTGGCCTGTGGAAAAGCTTTGACATGTAAGTACCATTAGGTTGCTAGAGAGTGAGGATCATCACATTATGGTGAGGCTCTCCTTTGTAACTTTATATGTGCACATGTTCCCAGATATTCAAAAAGAAAAAGACACAGAGAAGTGAGTATTTTTATTCAGTGCCTCCTTGAGCTCTTAGAAGAAAGATAACATATTATCATTCCATGAAATGGAAGGCTCCTTGAAGTCTCAGAAGAAAGATAACGTAGTATTATAAAATGGGAAGGGACCTGGGAGGTCACTTCATTCAACTTTCTCATTTTTTTAGTACACTTCCCTTTAATGGACAGTGCAAGTATTTATTGAGACTCTACCGTAATTAGGGAATTATCATCTCCCAAGAAAGGGCAAAAGAAGCTTTCAGCCTCATTGGGAAAGCAGAATACAAATAGAAGAGGGTGACAAATAGAAGATACAAATAGCAGAAGTTGACATGGTGGATATAAGGGAGCGGTTGTAGGTGAGCCAGGTGAGGATGGAAGTAAGGCCCTGAGGAGATGTGATGCTTGGTGAAAAAGTGGTGTTGTCAGTGGATGGGAGGTCTTAGCCAATAAGGGTCTCAGAGAAGTGAGCTGGAAGGAAAGGAGCTTTAGTTAGATCTGTGAAGTAAAGATTTTTGAAGACAAGGCCAAGGTTATGACCATGTTAGTGGGTAGCTCAAGAAAGAGTGAGAGAACAGATCATTGGAGTAGAAGATTCAAAGACACGAGAGGTTAGGGTGTTGGATGATTCAGCAACGTGGTTTTTGAGTTAGTCAAGTAGAGTTGGAAAGGAAGGTGGTGAACCATGTGATGAAGTCTTATTGAAGAAGGGTCATGACCAAGAGCCTGGTAGATGACCGTGTATGTTAACAAATTAATGTTCACAGCAGAACACACTGGAAGTATATTAGAGTGAAGTAGGGCAGAGAGGTAATGTTAGCAAATGTTTCTCAACATTTAAATCTCACTAGTGGTAAATAGTAAAATTGAAACACATTTGATACATTCAGACTACTTCTGGTGAATTCTCACAAAATATGCTAAGGATATCTTATTTTGGCCTTTTTGGTAGCTCCTGTCTTCGTTCCTGGCTAGAACAAGACACCTCCTGCCCAACATGCAGAATGTCTCTTAATATTGCTGACAATAATCGTGCCAGGGAAGACCATCAAGGAGAGAACCTGGATGAGAATCTGGTTCCTGTAGCAGCAGCTGAAGGCAGACCTCGCTTAAACCAGCACAATCACTTCTTCCACTTTGATGGTTTGTTATTTCAACCTCAGAAACCGTCCTGAAGGGATTTCTCCCCAAAGGGGATGCTGTTTTAATTATAAATTGCCCTATACAGGCCAGTTTAATATTATATTTCAATTTTAATTGAAAGTGTTCAGTAAGTATAGATAGCACTGAGGGTGTTCTGTGCCAGGCATTTTGCTAGATTTTATGTGACTATGGGTGGGGGTGGGGGCGGGGAGGTGGACGTAGTGCAATTGAATCAACCATGCCTGCAAGGAGCACACTTAATCGGTTTAACAGTTAACCATTGCTAATAATTTATTGCATTGATGTAGTACTTACGCATATAATGAAGGGTCATTGAATAGACTTTCCAGTGAGTACCAGAAGCAGAATCAGAGCTAGAACCCTGTTTGCCCATAAAATATGAATATGCTGCCTCCCAGCAGTGTTGAAAGGAGCTGTAATAAAACCACACTTAAAATTTTAAGGCCATGGGCACCATATCAGGGGCTGGTTGATCATTCTTCTTTAATTCATGTGACATCAAGCTGTTGTTGATTTTCATCAATTCCAATACCACTAAATTCTATGAGTTTGTATTTCTTACTATAAAATAGGTACCCCTGGAATTTTGTTAGGAGGAGTACTATTCACATCTCTGATTTGAGTTTCCATGGGTGGAGCATGGTGGGAGTGTGGCACATTGGTGAAATCCCTGATAGAAAGGACCAAGGAGAGTAGAGTCAAGTCTCCGAGAAGAGGGGGTGACAGTTGCCTCGATGGCTGGGCCAGGCTTGTGGGAAGGGTGCAGAGGGGCTGCTTTGGTGGCTGTTAATTAAGGCCTCTATCAAGTAAGACTTCTGAAATATACTAGCAGCTCTTGGACTTGGGTCCAGCTGTGTAATCTGTTGTTTTATGAATTATCTATAAAAACTTAGTCAAAATAGATAAAGTCAGCTTTATTTCTCCGTAGTAAGCACATGAAATAAGTAACCAGTTTAACAGGCACATTTTGTTGGGCAAGACCTTTGAGATGGCCATCAACATTTTTATATTCCATGCCTCAGTGCTTCTTTGTGAAGGAAAGAAAAATTACCCTTAAATGTGTGGCTTGATATTGAGTTGTTTTACAGCCAATACTTGGTGGTGTTATATCTCAGGATCCCCTTTTCTTAGGGAAATAGCAGAAGCAGAAGACTTCTTGGTACCATGAGTCCACGAGCCTGTGTTGTAGAACTCTTTGAAAAGAATTTTGAATCAGAAAACCAAGGTCTTTAAACCAGATTATTAAGTAGAAAATACTTCATGAAAATAATTGTGAAAACAGCGTCTCCAGAGGAGTATTATGTGTGTAAAGTGTGAAAGAGAGGAGCAAAAACTCATCTGTTGTGGCAGCGTTAGAGCCATGAAAACCTTCCTTATACTCTAGGCCAAGAGAGGGGATTGAGATTGTGTGGATCCAGCCCAGTGGGAAGCAGGAAAGCCTAGTGGTGGAGTGTTCTGGAACCTGACTGTCTGGCTTCCAGTCCTGGCCACCATAATTGAATTGTGTGATCTTAGGCAAGTTATCTAATTTCTGAGTGCTTGAGGACCCGAGCCCAGGGAACTAGAGTCAGATCTCTGAAAAGAGTAAAATGAGAGTAGTAACAGATGGTACCCTGTGGGGTTCTGGTGAGGATTACATGAGCTAACGTGGAACACTTGGTACAAAAGGCCTGGCATAAGTAAGCCCTTGGTGAGTACCAGCTGGTGTTGTAGAGAGGCCGACTCTGGAGTAGATGACACGGGGAAGAGGTCTCTGACGCTCATGCTGGATTCTCCTTTGTTTCAGGGTCCCGGATTGCGAGTTGGCTGCCGAGTTTTTCAGTTGAAGTGATGCACACCACCAACATTCTTGGCATTACGCAGGCGAGCAACTCCCAGCTTAATGCAATGGTAAGGCCCGCTGACTGCTTTAAGAAGATGATTAATAATCAGAGGGGATGTGTGCAGTGTGCATGACCTTGTTGGTCTTACTCTGCTGTGGCAGAATGGCAGGATTTTCAGGGGCGTTTTATTTATTCACTGGGACCACTTAAATTCCTGTGTTTTAAAATTTGAAACTGGTTTGGAAAGCGGCTTTCATTATACTTGTGTGGCAGATAATCTCACCTTTTCTGAGCACTAGTAGGTTCACTCTGTTGTGATCTAGGCCAATCTTGGGACTCTTCTTGATTTTAACCAAAAATATGGGGGGGATTATTGACTGGAGTGAATGATGTGCATTTTATCAAAAATTGTATTAGGCCTACCAAATGTGTTTTTTTGACCCCTGTCCCCTCCCTCCCCCAAATAAATAAATAGATATCCATACACACACACACACACACACGTCTGTGTGTGTATCTCTACCTTGAGATATTGAGGTATGCTGTTGGCTCAAGGATATTGTTCAGATACTTCAAGATTCTTTGTATTTTTCTAAAGCTTTGTCATATGGTGTGTATTTTTATTTTACAATGTTGCAGAAACGTGTTTCACCATTGTTGAACTTTAGTGTTCTTTGTGGTAATAAATGCAGGAGTCTTAAAATGCACACTACCTTCGTCCTGCTTGGATGGGGCCTCTGGCTGACCTGGGTAAGCCTGACCAGTACTTCAGAAGGTCTTTGGTCATTGTTCATTCATTAGTTAATGGTAATATATTTATTCAACAGATTTGTACTGGAATCCTGTTCCCGTGATAGGAACTGCACAGTGTAACCAAACTGCAAAGCACTTGCAGTGTAAACAAGGTAGATGTGAGCCCTACTCTCAAGAAGTATAAATTCTAGTTGGGGAGACAGATTATAAATACAAAGAGATAAGATCATTGCTGATGGTGATGAGTGCTCTGAAGGCAGGAAGGCAGGCGATGTGGGAGAGTGGGCAGGAAAGGCTATTTTAGAGGAGGCTTTCGAAGAAGTTCTCTCTGAGGAGGTGATATTTAAGCTGAGAAGAGAAGGAGGCAGATCAGGGGGAAGGAGGCAGTGAAAACAGTAGGTGCAAAGGCCAGGAGATGAGAAAGTGCTGGAAACCGAGAGAGGTCATTGTGGTTGGAGCCTAGCAGGTTGGGGACCAAGATTGTGGCGTAAGTTGAGATTGCAGAGCCAGCTCGTGCAGGGATCTGTAGGCCACGATCCAGTTTAGATTTTATAATGAAAATATTAGAAGGCCACTCAAGGCTTTTTTTTCTCCCCCAGGGGACTGAGAGGGAATGATTTTGCTTCTGAGAGGAGAATGAATTAAAGGGGCAAAAATGGAAGCAGCAAGACCAGTTAGGAGGCTGTGCAATAATAGTTCAGGCAGAAGATGGTGGCTTGAACCAGGGTGTTGGTAATAAAGATGAAAAGAAGTGGCAGATTAAAGGTATTTTTGGAAGATGAACTGACAGGACTTGACAGGGCTTTGATTTGCATGTGGGGGGAGTAGGGGGAGGGAAGTGCAGGAACGAAGCTGACGAGCTGGATTTCAGTTAAGCAGCTGATGGTGGTACCGGGTATTGAGTCTTGAGGGCAAGACTGGGGGAGAAACAGGCTGGAGGACCAGGACTCAGCATTCTGTTCGGTGGGGAAGTTGGAATGTCTGTGAGACATTCAAGTAGAGATGTCACGTAGGCAGCTCTGGAGCTCAGGAAAGACATCAAGCTGGAGACACACATTTGGGAGGCTTTTTTTGGTGCGGGGGGGTGGTTATGTCTGTAGGTGATATATAAAGCAGGAAACTGGATCTCTTCAAGGGAGAGAATGTGGCTTGCAAAGAGAAGAGGATCAGGGCTGAGGTCTGGCACAGAGAGAGGAGCCATGACCATGGTTTAGAAGGAAGGAAACCAGGAAAAGGTGGCAAGTGAAGCCTGTGGGAATTCTTAGAAGATGAGGGCAGAGAACTGCGTGTTGGATTTGACAGGGTGGAGGTGGTTGATTAGCTGGAGAAGAACAAACAGTTTCCATGGCCTGAGGGGTTGAATACTAGATTGTGGTGGATTGAAAAATGAGTGGGAGCTGAAGAAACACACAGTATCTGGCAGTACGTTATAAAAGGGAGTGGAGAAGTAGAGGGGGTAGCTTGATAGGCATGTGGTATCGGGAGTTTTTGTGTTTTTAAGACTTTTTTTTTTTTTTAAGATTTTCCAACAGGTCATTTATCCACAAGTTTCAAAACCTATAGAGGAGTATCCAGTGAAGTCATGCTCCCATACTTTCCTCTATCCATCTAACCACCCTCTGCCCCCCATAACAACTGTGGAATCATACAGTATTTGTCTTTTTGTGACTGGCTTATTTCACTTAGCATAATATCCTCAAAGTTCATCCATGTTGTAGCGTATGCAGAATTTCCTTCCTTTTTAAGGGTGAATAATAGTATTCCATTGCATGTATATACCATATTTTGTTTATCCATTTATCCATTGATGGACACTTGGGTTGCTTCCACGTTTTAGCTATGGTGAATGATGCTGTGCACATGGATGTAAATATCTCTTTGAGACTTTGCTTTCAATTATTTTGAGTACCCATGGGTCTTTTTTTAAAGATAGATTCTAAAGCATGCTTGGTATGTAAATAAGAATGATCACTAGATGGGGAGAGATGAGTGGTATAGAACAAACCGAAGAGTTAACTGAAAGAGCAAAGACCTGGAGGTGGAGGGTGGGGTTGGGAGCCAGAAGAGGAGAGAGGCGTCCACCTTTGTTGAGAGGAGGGATGGAAGTAGCTACCGGCTTGTTTTTGAGATTTGGTTTAAAAGGAAGGCATGGCTCATAATAACCAAGAGGTGGAAGCAACCTAAATGTCCGTCAGAGATGAATGGATTAAGAAAATGTGGTATGTACATACCATGGAATATTATTCAGACTTTCAAAAAGAAGGAAATCTTGTCACATGCTACAACATGGGCGAACCTTGAGGACATTATGCTAAATGAAATAAGCCAGTCACAAAAAGACAAATACTGCATGATTCCACTTATATGAGTTATCTAAATTAGTCCAACTCTTAGAAACAGAAAGTAGAATGGTAGTTGCCAGGGGCTAGGGGGAAGGAGGGAATGGGGAGTTGCTGTTCAGCGGGTAGAGTTGCCCTTTTCCAAGATGAAAAAGTTCTAGAGATCTGTTGCACAGTAATGTGCATATAGTTAATACTACTGTACACTTAGAAATGGTTAAGATGGCAAATTTTATGTTATATCTTTTTGACCACAATAATAAAAAAAAGGCCTGGGTTCCTGCTGGCTTCTGCTTCCTCAGTGAAACCCTCAGCCAGGTTATCAGCAGAGAGTGACAGTGACATCCTGATTGGCATAGATGGTCTGGGAGTGCGGTGGCCTAGTGTGGCCACTGCCGGCTCCTGTCAGGCTCTAGGTGTGTACTTTGGGGGTTAGGCAGCGGTTGAAGCTCTGCACGTGGATCACCTCACCAGCCTCCTTAAAAGAATCAGAACTCATGGGCATGTAACCCCCTTAGGAATAAGAATTGCGTTCTTGGACTTGGTGTGTTCAGAATTCTCAGAGAGGCCCTTGCTTTTCTTCCTCCAGTTCCATGATGGATTGAAATAGCCTATTTTCAGCACAACTGATTTACTAGAACCATACATTTTTTATAAAGATCCAATAATTAACTTAATGGATTTTCTGGAAGAAAAGCTCTGGTGGAGTAAAATGAATCTTGAACACTTTTTTATTTGGGAAATGAAGAGGAAGCTGTTTAAGAATAGTGAAGAACATTATCTGATTATTGAGGTTTTTATGGACTTTTCCAGTTAGCTTTGATTTGACCTGGGAAAAAAATGACTGACTGACATTCATGCAAACAATAAGGGGATTCCCGGCTAGTGGAGGCCTCGGGCCCTTCTGCTGCACACTGCTTGTCTGGCCCTCCCCCACCTCAGCGATGCCTCTGAGCAAAACTTTGTGCAGGTTTCCCCTGATCTCGTCTCTCAAGGCCCTGACACTGAGACACATCCCTCTCTTTCTACAGTTACGACGACATGTTCCTTGCGAGCCCATATCCCAGTAGGAGATTCATTCAAGATTCATTCATTCAAGTGCCCCTAAAGCAACTCTGTTTTCCCTCCTCTTTCTTTTTTTCTTTTGATCATTAGAACTTTTCCACAAATAAAACCTTGAACATAAGCATTTGTAAAATAAATATACACATACGAAAAACAAAACCTGGAGCCTCTTTGATGAAAGTATGAGTGGTGGTGTGTCGAGACCCGTGCTTGCTCCCGCTGCACACTCGCGCCCACTCTCCAGCGCTAAGTGGACTCGGAGACGTTTCTGGAGTACAGTTTGAAAACTACAGCTCTAATATTAGGAATTCACTTTCTTTATCATCTTCTCAAATTGAGGTGTAATTTACATACAGTAGACTGACCCGTTTTAGTATCCAGTTCTGTAAGTTTTATCAAACCAACACAGTTCTGTGACCACCACCACAGTCAGGATACGGGACAGTTCCATTCCCCTCCCCCCAGATTCCCTTGTGCCCTTTGTAATCACTTCCTCTCCCACCACCAGCCTCTGCAACCGCTTATCAGTTTTCTGTCCCTGTAATTTTGCCTCTTGTAGAATGTCATATAAATAGAATCCTACAGTACATAGCCTTTTGAGTCAGACTCCTTTCACTTAACATAATGCGTTAGAATTTCGTCCAAGTGGTGTGTATCAGAAGTTTCTTCCTTTTCGAAATTATATCTTGAAGGAAAACACATTTTTATACCTGAGTTAAACTGAGCTGTAAAATGAACGCCTTTTACAGCTAGCATGTTCTGGTTGAGCATGTTTCGGGACCCAGCTGGGTTTCTGTGCTGTTTTTAGTTTGAAATTGGTGCTGTCCCAAGTTATCTGTTTGGCATCCTGGGAAAGTACTACAGGGAGTGCAGTGTGGTGGTGATCCGCAGAGTGGAGGTGGCCCCTTACCCATGTGTTCAGGGCGGGCTGCCAGGTTTGGTGCCCAGAGCCAGCCAGACACCGTGACCTCACTGAGTCACTGTTGAGTGAACATTTCTGTGGTCCTCTGTTTTTGTGTTCCTGTAGGCTCATCAGATTCAAGAAATGTTCCCCCAGGTTCCATACCACCTTGTGCTGCAGGACCTCCAGCTGACACGCTCGGTTGAAATAACAACAGACAACATTTTAGAAGGACGTATTCAAGTACCTTTTCCCACACAGGTAAATGGGGGTTTTAAGTGTGACAGATGGATCATGTCTTTACAAAGATTTAATTCTCTAGATTAACTTTTTAGTTACTTAACAACTGAATATCATTTATGATTTGATGAAGGGTTTCTGTGAATTCCCTAACTTTCCACATTATGACAGAACATTCCCATCAGAGAGGCTCAGATTACGACAAGGACAAATGCATTCAGGTAATTTTTTGTACAGATATGCACCCCAAACTGGCCTGCCCTTGCCAGTCCAGGAGGTCATGGCATCAGTTCCTTCAGACAAGATTAGCAACCTTTTTCTGTAAAGGGCAGATAGAAATATTTTAGGCCTTGTGAACCATACAGTCTGTTGTAACTTTTCAACTCTGCCGTTGGAGCACTAAAGCAGCCAGGGACAAATGTAAATGAATGCGCCTGACTGTGTCCCAGTAAAACTTTATTTAGGAAAGTAGGCGGAGGGGTGAATTTGGCCCGCAGGCTGTTGTTTGCTGACCCCCAGCTCTAGGAGATAATTCTGCCTGTCCCTGGTTGGCTTTGCACACTAGTGTGGGTTTCCATTAGGTATATAGCTGTGCGAGGCTTGTGCTTTTCACTTTTGTAAAAAGGTCAGATTTCCAGGCCCATCATATAACCCTTTCATGGGTACAAGAAGTATTAACAGTTTTTTTTTTTTTTTTTTTTTTGGGAAGGTCAGCCCTGAGCTAACATCCACGGCAATCCTCCTCTTTTTGCTGAGGAAGACCAGCTCTGAGCTAACATCTATTGCCAATCCTTCTCCTTTTTTTTTTTCCCCCCTTTTCTCCCCAAAGCCCCAGTAGATAGTTGTATGTCATAGTCGCACATCCCTCTACTTGCTCTATGTGGGACGCGGCCTCAGCATGGCCCGACAAGCGGTGCATCAGTGCGCACCCGGGATCCGAACCTGGGCCGCCAGTAGCAGACTGCACGCACTTAACCGCTAAGCCACGGGGCCAGCCCCAGAAGTATAAGCTTTCTGGCAGGACCAAGGAAGCATCTACCAAGAAATTATTCAACTTTGTATGCAAAAATATGTGGAAATCTATTAATAAAAGCCTACAACTTGAGACTCTTGGAAGAGGGAACTGGCCTGGAGTTTGGAGTCGAATGGGCTGAGGTGTTAGACGTGGCTCACCAGTCCTTACCAGTTTGACCTGGTTGTTGCCTGTGGATTTCCCCAGCAGCAGACCCCGAGACAGGGATTCAAATGCAAGTGGTTAATTTGGGACATGTTCCAGGAAACACAGGCAGTGAGTGGGGCTCTGAGATGGAGAAAGGAAGGCGGCCAGTAAAAGGTTTGTTACCCAGCAGGTCACTGTCGTGGTGACTGGAGCTGGACCCCACTGGGGGCCTCTGGGATCCCTGGGAACACACTGTCCCTCCTGAGCGGGGGGAGCTGGGTGTTTATACACCAGTGCCGGTAAGTCCATGTCGAGGGCTCCTAGGGGGCACAGTTACCTCATGGTGCCGGCTGGGCCCTCAGGCAATGCAGTGCAGGAACGGCCAGCCAGCGCTGCGGGACAGGACCTGCAGGGAGGGCCCAGAGTGTCTGCAGCTTGGCCGAGATCTCAGACTGGCTGAAAAGGAGAACATTAGCACCTGTTTCGTAGGATGTTAAGAGGATAAATGAGGTGATCATGTCAGGTTTTCCACGAAGCGTTGAGTCGGTGTCATCTGATGTTGTCGTTTCGTTATTGTGCAGTTACTGTTACTGAAAGGGAAACTAAATGTGGAGCCCATTGATACCTCTCAAACTTAGGCCTTAGGCTTCTTTGTCTTGTCTTTAGTCTTAGTGGCATTTTCGGTTCTTCGATGTTGCCAGCGTTGTTAAAGCTTGGCGCGGCTCTGCACTGTCTGTGGTGCTGTTTCTCTTTCAGCGGTCAGAGAGCATCAGACCTGCATTGAACAGTCCTGTGGAGAGGCCAAATGGTGACCAGGAGGAAGGAGAAACTTCTGCTCAGGTGAGCTCTGCACACTCAAGAGAGTGTGTGTGTGAGATCAAGGAGGAGTAGTGTGGTACCTGGCGGTGGTCTTCAGTCCTGCCTCTAATGTTTGGGAGGCTAGGGTGGGAGTGTCAAAGAAGGCCGCTTGCCACATCTGCCTCGATAGTTAAGGTTAACAAACCAGGCTGTGCCCATGGCGTGGCCTGCATTTCCACCCAGGGCCTGCAGCCCACTGCCTGGGCATGGTCCTGAGAACCTGGAGGAGAAGGGAACCATGTGCCCCTGGGCCAGCCCAGCCCCTGTGAGCTTGAGTGGCAGCACTCGGGAGGGCAGAGAGGGAGGCTGGGCCCGGACTCAGGGTGACCGGACCCATCCAAACCCAGAGGGGGACAACTGGGCTGAATTCTCTAGAGCTGAAACCATCGAGTTAGTCTCTCCCACACTTCACCTGTCCAACTCAGCGTTTCTAGGTACTTCCATGAATTTCAAAAAAATGAGACCCTTTGAGTGTGTGTGTGGTGGGGAAGAAGCGTGGTTGTTTGGGGAAGCAGATCTGTCTAGATATCCACTTGGGGAGGCTCCCCTAAACAAAAGCAGCTCCTCTGTCTGGTTTGCAGGGCAGAGGCACCCCCCCACCACCACACACACACACATGCTCTTAGCCCCCCACCCTGGGGGTCCAGTTCACATCCTTTCCCCGTAATTCCCATTTGCTTAATCAATTACCATACTTTCCAAAAACTTTCTTAGGAGACTGGAAAAAAACCCCAGACAACCCTATCTTGTGTTTCCATGTTAGTGACATGCGCGGCTTCCCACACGCAAGGCTGGGGTGTGAGGGTGGTGCTGCTTCTCCACCAGCGCCGGTCAGGGCTCTTCTTGAAGCAGCTGCTGTAACTGATGAGTCACACGCAGGCTGCTTTCACCTCGTGTGTTTTTCCGCAAATAGGAAACAGTAAAACTCCTAAGACTTTTTCAGATCTGTTGCTGAGTTACATTGTTCGTATCCAGATCTGTGACTGGATTGTGTAGCGTTTGTACAATGGTGCCGACTGCTGGAGGAGGAGGAGTTGTTGGTTTCCAGTATTTTGCATAGCTGGCTTTGCTGAGATTTGAATGCTAGACTGGCTCGGGGGCATCTGTGGTACAGTGCGTTCCATTCCTGTCTCTATTCCCTAACTCTATTTTTAGAGTTAGCATGAAGATTTCTGAGTTTTTCCTAACATTGTGGAGGGAAAGTACTTATTTCACAAGGAAACTTGCTGTATAATATTTTCGATGATTCTCAGGAAATAAAACGTCCTTGGATAAACATCAGTTAATAAAAACCCGAGTTGAGCCCATCATCACTTCAGCTGCTTATCACTCAGTTCAGAGTTTCCCCTCTGGCCTGCATCAGTCAGGGAGGAAGCTGGCAGGGGCCTGAGGGTGGGCTTCTGTTTCCTTCCTTCCATCTCCTCCTCCACTCACCAGCGGCTCTTGCTAACTGCCTCCAGGGCCAGGCTCAGGAGGAGAGAGGGTGGGGATGGCCCCTGTGTCCCCAGCAAGCACACGTGTGTACACGTGTCTGTGCAGACCCCTCCGTGTGCCTCACAGTTGTTATCTTACGGGTCTCCCTGCCGTGTCTGGCACCAGAAACCTCAACTATCTACTTCCTTTGAACTTGGACTGGCTGGTTATGACCTCCCCCACCTTCATGGGGTCACTCGTCCCTCCAGTTGACCCTCTTGGGCAAAGTCTGTTTCACCAACATCAGGCTGGTTCCCTCCTGCAGGACCATGTCTGCTCTTCAGGACACACAGCAGGGCCTATGGTCAGTGGAGGTCCTACTTGCTCCCGTCACAGCCTTTTTTAATCTGCTGCAAGCCAGTGTCTTTCTCTTAGCTCTTAAAAATAGGCCTGTCTCTCAGCCTCTTCCACCTCAACTTGTTGTCGCCTAGAGGGGGGCGCTGGGCTGACACGGCCAGCCTGAGTCGTGTCTGGTAGCATGAGCACAGAGGGTCGGGCACCTGCCTGAGCATGTGGGGGCACCTGCGCATTGTCTTTTCTTCGGAGCTTCAGCCAAAACCCAGACAGTCCCATTTTAACATCCGTACACAAGGAACCACGTGATCTTATGTCTGTTTTAAAAAGACCGTTAGAATTTACCCTTTTTATCTGCTTGACTGTTTTCAGAGTTAAGTGAGGGTATAAAATTCATGCAGTAAGTGTAGTAAGACTTGTTTAAATTTTAGAGCCATTAGTAGAACTGAACAGAAAATTCCCAGAATGCAAACTAGCAGTTCACTTTATTCTTATTTTCCAAGAGTACAGTTTTGAGGTGCTTATGTTTTTCATAGTGGTAATCGTTTACTTATCCCACTAATATTGAACATTCAGTATGAGTCAGGTCCTGTTCTTAGTGGTACAGAAGCCAGGTGCAGTGCTGCCCTCCAGGAGTCCGCACCTGCCATTACGCGTCTGCACGTGGTTCCCTGCCTGGCAGCCTGCCTCCCTTTGGGTCCAGAAGAACGTTATTTGGGGCGCTCTGGCCGAGTGGGGAATCTGCTTAGGAGGGCAGCCTGTGCTCACGGCGGCCCCTTCTTCCTCCGTGTCCAGACTGAGCGTGTGCCGCTGGACCTCAGTCCTCGGCTGGAGGAGGCGCTGGACTTCAGTGGGGTGGAAGCCGAGCCCAGTGAGGGGGAGGACTTTGAGGCTCGGGGCAGCCGCTTCTCCAAGTCTGCTGACGAGAGACAGCGCATGTTAGTCCAGCGTAAGGACGACCTCCTGCAGCAGGCTCGGAAGTAAGTTGATTATACCAGCCCTGCTGGTGTAAATCTCAGGTCAAAGCCCTGTGGCCTGAAGGCCGTTGTCATGTTGGACCCATATCATGTCTTTGTAAACAGATGCCAACATTGAAAAACCATTACCTGTCACCTAAAAATCAGATTTCAGATCTCTCTTGGAAAACCAGAGGCTCTGGTAACCCTGGGCCCAGCTGGTGACCTCTGGTGGGCAGGTGCCATCGGTTGTCTCCTGTGGGTTGTCTTCAGCCACACTTGCGTGGAGAGCACTTATGTGCCAGCGTGTTCTAAGCCCTTTATGTTAATTATTCTAATTCTCTTAACAGTTCTAAAAGCGAGCATTGTAATTATATCCACTCAACAGACTTAAACCTGAAGAAACTGAGGCCTAGAAAGGTGAACACTGGCCTGATGTCTGGCACCCAGGCCCTCCCTCTTAGCCACTCTGCCTTCAGCCCAGCAGACTGCACGTCTTTGTGCTGCCCACCCCCACCCCACCCCGCTATGGGTTGTAGCTGGAGTATGGAGCGTGAGTGTGGGGACTTAGTGGGGGTCTGTGTGCGTGTGTGTGTGCGTGTGTGTGTGTGTGTGTGTGTGTGGTGGGTGGGTGGGTGTTGGGCAGAGGAGAGGGCGGAGCTCAACAGCCGCCTGCCGGGCCTGCTCCCTGGTGCAGTGAGAACTTAGGCTCCTCCGTTCAGGGAAAGGTGTCTTTCATGGGATGGTGCTGAGTGACAGCTTCATGAAGGTGCTGGAAAACGGGGAAATTAAACATTGTGTACGTGTTCCAGAGCTCCCTTCTCTCGTGCAAATCCTTTGTTTTTTTATAGGCGTTTCTTGAACAGAAGTTCTGAAGATGACTCAGCCTCAGAGAGTGGCCTTCCCTCGGAAGGCACGACCTCTGACCCCGTGACCCTGCGCCGGAGGATGCTGGCTGCGGCTGCAGAGCGGAGACTTCAGAAGCAGCAGGCCTCCTAGCGCCTCCTCGCCGTCCTCAGTCCTCAGCCGCCGCCTCCCGAGCAGCGCCCGCCGGAGAAGCCTGGCCCAGATCTGCCTGCTGTGGAAGAAGTGGGCTTGACTGCATTGCCGCTGTATAAAGCATGTGGTCTTCATAGTGTTTGGACAGCTGACAAATTTAATCCTTTTTTGTAATACTTTCTATGTGACATTTCTCTTCCCTTTAGAAACACTGCACATTTTAACTCTAGGCATGATCTCTTTGGCATTGACTGGACTTCTTAGGGTTGGGGGAAGATCCAGAGGAAGTGGGCATCCAGAAACCCTGAAGCAGGCAGCTTCGATGACTGCTTTCTGCATAAGTCACAACAAATGCTGGTGTCTTTAGCTCCAAATCTGGCAGGAAGTGTGTGTGTAGGGGGCTGGATTCATAAAAAGCAGTGTGGAGATGTACAGCATGGGCGTAACTCCACACTGCTGGATAATTTCTCTTGTCAAACTGCTGTTCTTAGTGAGGGTGGGGTTTGGTGCCTGTTACAGAGGCCAATGTTACACAGGCCAGACCCACGGGCTCCTGGACCCCTGGACTGCAGGGCTTCTTGGAAAGACGACTCTTGGTTTAATACCTGGAGCAGAGGAGGGGAAAGCCCAGGGCTGTGGAGTGTGAGGAGGAGACCCAGTTGTGTCCCAGTACGTCCGGACTCACTTTCTGAGCCCCCAGTCCAAAGCTGGCTTTATTTCCGTTACCGCTGGTGCTCCTGCCTCTCACGAGTCCACCCTGTGGGTCTGTCCTCCTTTCTGCATTTCATTGCCCCCTCCCTGGACATGGGAAGGTCAGCACTGAATGGGTTAAGCAGCGAGCTTTGGTTTGGTCAAGTGAGTTAGGCAATGCCAAGGGCAGTGGGTTGGGTCCTTGGAGAGAATGTGGGCCTTCCAAGATGGGAGAGTCAATTTTGGAGGGCTTTACTGAGGAAATAAAAGATACCTTTGTGTCTTTCTCCTCTGGGCCCCTTGTTCCTGTTGGTTTGGTTAAATGTAGAAAGGGAAGCTGTGGAATCCACCTGCCCCGGAGCAGCCCTCGGTCCTGAACCTTTTCAGATGCTTCACACATTTAACTTTAAAGAATTTGAAACACAATCATAGGTTACATAGTTCAGTTTTATCTCCTATTGGATTAAGTTTTTTTAATGTTTGAAAGCATAGTTTTATGGTAGTCCTTTCAGGAAGAAATCCAGTATTATCTAAAATTATTGGCAAAGTTGTATTGTATGTATTTTACATAACTGAAAGTTTTTAGAATGTTGAAAAGTAATTGAAAAAAGAGTGATGACTAAGTGTTTAGGCTGAGATAATTTATTTCAATAAATCTTTCAAAAGCCTTACTTTGAAATGCTGTTAGTAAATTTCTGTGATTTTTTAAAAATTTGTTTTGCTGAGAGCATAGCTATTTGTTTGTTTTTATTGTGAAACAATAATAATAAAAAGCAAACTCTTCTGGTGTGTTGTGTGTGGCTCGAAGCTAAGGTGGTTTTTTTCAGAGGTGCCAAAGTTAGCTCCCATGTTGATTTTGTCTACCGTTTTGGTTGGAGGTTTTTTCCATCCTTATACTTCACATGTTGCACACGTTAAAGATGACACTAATTCCGTGTGTTCTTATGTTTCAGATGTGTAAGAAAAATGGTTTGGAGCCAATTTTAGGGGGTCTTGAGACAGTGGAATATAGCAATATGACATGGATCAAAGCAGAGACACACCTTACATAGCTTAGAATGACCCAAAAAGCCAAGTGGTAAATGCACCCCTAGATTTTACACCCGGATAGTGGAGAATTCTGGGCGCTATCCTGTCTCTTGGCTTTTGTCACTTCTTGGGGGCACCTGGGACAGATGCGAAGGGCAGCAGCGGGAGGCTAGGCCAGTGTCCTGTTACACTGTCTTGCACTGTCTTCCCTGCCCCAGGATCAGGGAGCCTGTTCTCACGCTCAGCCCCTGTGGCCCGGAGCTGAGGCCAGGCTGCTGGGTCAGGTTTGGAAACAGAACAAGAAGTGGCCCGGCACTCGGGCAAATGCTGAGTTGCCGTTGCCCTCTTTGCCTCTTCTGGAGGTAGTCTCTGTTACTCCCTCCATTTTCTCATTGGCCCTGATTTGTCGACATCTTGGGTTCTCGGTTTGGTTTCCTTCCCCCAGGTTTGGAGGCTTCTATGTACCATAGAGAAAGATGATCCACGTGGCTGTTTTCCTTCTCTTAATATAAACCCTCAGTGCTCAGGTGCACTTGGACCTGATTTCCCACCTGAGCTGTGTAGACGATGTGCTGTTAGCAGACGTGGTCCTCTGGGTGTGACTTCCCCACTGTGCTGCCGAGAGCTCTGCTGAAGCACGGCACAGTGTGCCAGAGGAGCCGTGGCCTTACCGGCCAGCTTGTCGAGGAGTAACCTCTGCCTGCCCGTCTGCCCACCTGCCGCAGGCCCTCCAGCATTGGGAAGCCTCCATTGCTTATCTCATTGCCTCTGCGTTTGTTAGGTTAGAAGTTCTAAACCTGACTGCACACTAGTCACTGGGGAGCTTTTAGAAGCCATGATGCGTAGGTTCTGCCCCCACGCTACTTGTTCTAATTAAATTGGTCTTTCCCTGCATCCTTTCCCCCAAAAAACCTTCCTGTCTTCCATTTTAAGGAAGATAAGGCAAAGAAACTTCTCTTGGTTTTATCTACAAAATTCACTTGAAAGTTGCGAGAGAACCCTGTGAGACTGTGGCTCGTTGTGGAGAAACTTGGGTATACCACATGGAGACAAAGTCACAGTGTCAGCCTTCCGCCTGCGTCCTGGGTTGCCCCCCAGAGCAGTGTTTTGAAGTCAAATTGTGGCCAGGAGTGCAGCCTTCCCATCGACAGAGATGGGCGTGGGCTCCCCCTGCACATGTGTCAGGGTGAGGGGAGCTGGCAGGAAAAGCACCGGCAGAGGGTGGCCTCGCTGGCTGGCAGGCTCGGCCTGGCCGAGCAAGTCCAAGGGTGCCCGGAGTGGTTGTTTCTTGATAACAGGAGGGAACTAGCCTCTTATTCCTTCATCTCTGCAGCAGTATCAGCCCCTCCCTCCACCCCCACTAGACTCAAGGAGAGGCCTCCCTGGGCTGATAACTCCTATCGGTGGGTGTGTAGAGAGGATTCCAATGACTTGACCTCTTGGAGGCCCTCCCTTCTCCCTAGATGGTATGCATAGCACCTGACTGCTTGGCTAATAAGTGATCGTGGACATGATGCAAGGATTTTGGTGGGCTGTGTTCCCTCCAGGTCCCAGTCTCAACCGATTTGCTAGTTATTACAGCAAAAACCTGGCAACCTAGGGGAGTTAGTGAGACCCGCAGCCTGGAGGAGACAAGAATCAGACTCTGCCTGCCAGGCCGTGCTGATCTGTTACCCCTGTGTCTTGGGTCTGCAGGGGGCTTCCTGGCATCCACGTGTGGCAGAGGCGGCTTTTAAAGATGTCCAGATGAATGAGTGTGACCCCTTGGGTGCAGAGGGCCCAGGCAATATGGCCCCATTCTTGGGACCACCCATTGTCCCACTGTAGTGGAACCACTGGGGACAGAAGAAACAGGATCCTGTACTAGCAGGAGATTTGGGCTTACCCACCCTCTCTCATTTTTTCCCTTTCCAACCCTCAATTCCTTCCTACCCTCGAAAACAAACCCAGCTGAGAGTGAGGAGGAGCTGGTTGGGAGCCGAGGAAGAGGACATCTGCAGGCAGGGAGTGAGTGGCCCATTCCTCTGCCCTCCTTGCTCCCGGGCGGCTGCGCTGAGCTGGACGGTAGCACTGAGGGGGGACGTGGAGAAGGTCCTGGGGGGACTCTTTATGGGGCACCTACGGCCGTACCCGCCAGCCTCCAGTGTCTGTGGCCCAGTCCAATCCCACCTTCCCTTTCCTGTCAGAATGAAACCCGAGGGTGAGAGAGACTCAGGAATACAGACAAACATTCTCTTTATTGAGCTACACATGAATTTTCCATTAGTCAGAGAAGTTAGACTGGCAGTGTGTAAGATATCACAGAAACCTCACCGATTGGGAATAGAAAGGCTTAGAAAGACCCGTGGGCTTTTTTTTTCTTTTTTTCCTTTTTTTCAAGTTTTTTTTTCTGTATTTTTAATTTTTTGTGTGTTTTGTCTTTTTGCCTCCTTTTTATCTGAAATGGCTGTGACTGGTCTTCTTCAGCAAATATTAAGTCTTAAAAGTGAAACCGTGAAGAGGTTTGGGGTTTGGATACTAGTCAAAGTAGAAATGACATAGGACTGATCATGAAAACTGTGGCTTTCATGGGAACACTACATTCCATCTTTTTTTTTTTTTAAGATTTTTTGTGGGTTTTTTTCCCCATCTCATGGTATTTAAAAAATTTTTTTGTCCTTTTTATCTGCAGCACAAACATCCCCACATGAGAAAGAGCGAACACAGGTCACTGGAACAAAGGAGGAGGTGGAGAGGGGCGCACACACACAGGGAGCATCCATCTGAGAGGCTGAGAAGCGGAAATGTCAAAGGAAAAAGAGCCACAACCCCGTGTCCCAGAGACTATGAAAGCTGATCTGGTATGTAACACATAGTGTGCAGCAGGACAGAACTAAACCGAAAAGTAAAAAAAAAATTATAGGGGGAGTCTGTAGAAAGGGGCTTGATGGGAAAATTGTTTTCTGTGGGTCTCTATCTATATATTTGATGGGTATTCTTTTTGGCAGCTACTGGCCAGGGAGAGCTGTGCTTTTTCTATACAGACCTGGAGAGAGCGTGTGGTTGGAGTGGTTGGGGCGGGGCGCGGGGTGCAGGGGGTGTTCTGGCAGCCTCGGCCGGAGCACCCCGGGGAAGAGGGCGTGGTCGGGCCAGCACCTCTGCAGGTGCACTGGGGGCCCCACCTCGAGGTGGGAGGGGGGCTGTGGGTGCAGATGTGTATGTTTCTTTATTTCAAAAAAAGAAAGAAATATGGATGTAATGGTGAGTTTTCTTTTTTCTTTTTTTTTTAAGCTACAAAGCACATGAGAAATGTTCTTTTTTTCCTTGCAAATTCTAAATGTAAAGACTCAACTAAAACCGGATTCTACAGCATTCTACAGAAATACACAGCCGTCAGTCACTCTGGGGTCGTAGGTTAGACAGGGGCTTGATACAGAAAGGCTGTGTGTCTTACAAAAGCCAAAAGGTCATGCTACCAGGAGATGAACGTCAACAGCAAAGAGTCCATGAAGCAGTCTGTAGAGAGAGAGATAAGGGGTCCAGTCTGACCATTTTCTTTGATTTTAAAAACCAACCAACCAACCAAAAAACCCTAGAACCTTTTTAATAATAATTGGGGTGGGGCAAGCTGGGGCACATCGCAGGATGGACCGAGAACCCACGGGAAGCCTGTCCCAGGCCCCTGGAGGCCTCACCCCACGGGACCCGGCCCAGTCAGGTCTACACATCTGGACCGCCCTCAGCCACTCCTGTGCCCTTCTCCGCATCTCTCCCCTCTTCCTACCTGTCCTCTTGGAGGGAGGCTGGCTTCAACCCTGCAGGTGAAGCAGAGCCCTGGTTTGCACGTCCCCACCCCTCAGCTGCTTGTGGAAAGCAGACCAAGTCTCCCTTTTCTCTGACTCTGCCTCGTTCACATGAATAAAGAAAACTCAGGAGACAGTGGATTGGTCGGAGCAATGATTCTTCTAAATTCTTGAAATTAACAACCACCACCACCACCCAAAAGAGAAGCGTCCTTAATTCTTCTGTTGTTGCTGGGGTAGAGGGCAGGGAGATGTTTAGGGTATTGGCCATTTTTTTAAGGGTTCTGGAATTCGCACAAGAGCAGGACAGAACTGAGAGCACCCAGCCTCAGCGGGTGGCAGCAGAGAAACAGGCTGCACTGAGCCAGGCCTTCCTTTGCCCTCCCCCTGCTCACAGGAGTGGGTCTCGGAGAGTAAGATCACGTGGCTGTTCTTAAAAGGATGGACTCCCAAATCCGGAACCCCGTCACGACGTGTGTGCGCACGTGTGTGTATGTGTGAGTGTGCATGCACACGCGTGCATGCTCACGTGCAGTCCCCGGACAACCTTCATGATCTACGGGATGGTGGTCAGTTCTGTCTGAAGCTCTTCCTAGTACAAACTAAAAAGAATTTTTTAATATATATTTGTATATATATAAGGTTTTGTTATGCCTTTTTAAAGTTTATTTACCAACTTGCATGTGTGTGTGTTTGTGTGTGTGTGTGTGCGCATGTGCTAGCGTTTCTGTGGGTGCTGGAATCATTACCAAATAGGTTGCTATACAGGACAAGAGGTCAGTACAAGCCGCAGCCCCGGAGGTTGTTGGCGATGATGATGTCGGTGACGGCGTCGAATACCACTTGGATATTATTCGTGTCTGTGGCACAAGTCATGTGACAATAAATTTCTTTGTTGGGTGAGCGGTTTTTGCTTTCAAATTGTGCTTGGATGTAGGCGGCTGCATCTTCATAGGTATTGGGGCCTGTAACAAGACACAGAACAGGGGAGAGGCCTGTGAGAGCCAGGGCGCGGCGGGCTGGGGACGCCAGGCCGAGGAGGGGGCAGTGGCATCCTCCAGGAGGCAGGAGGAGACCGGACGGGACAGCAGAGGCTACCGTGGGGCACTCCTTCTCCAGGTGCAGTCGCCTTGACATTAAAAACCACATGAGGCTTAGCGTCGCCTGGCTTCTGACTTTTCCAGGTCTTTCCCTCCGTTTTCACACCGGACCCACCCTGGAGCCCTGGGAGGACAGTGGCCACAGGCTCCCCCTTTTGCTTTCTAGAAGAGCACACTGAGGCTGGGGCCTGGGACTGCCGTTCCCAACACTCACCCCTGGTCTAAACCAGTCCTGCGGCTTCTGATAAACCAAGACAATGACTTCTGGTGGAAGAGGTCCGGCAGGGGGTGACCCAGGACTCGCGGGGTCCTAGGGCATGCTGGGTGCCGAGCTGGCCTGGACCTCCCTGGGTGGCTTCCTTTAATGGGGAGCCACTTGGCAGGGCTGGGAGCGTCTCTAAGCAGTCCCAGTTCTTGGCTGAGTGGCCAGGACGTGGGGGGCACTGGCATCTCCTGGGTGGGAAGTTTAAGTGGCTACCAGCATGTGTAATACCAACTGGGGCCCCGTGATCCTTCTGGGGCCTGGAGGGGGGATCTGTGATGATGTGAGGACAGTTTTCCCACCAGCTGCACCCAAACCCTGTGGCCCTGCCCTGCAGACAACTTGCAACTAAATACCACAACATGTGGACCAACACGGAATTACCTAAAAGCCCATAAAAGGATGATGCCCCATTTTCCTCCGTGCCACTAGCATCTGGCCAGCATGGAAACAACACAATCTTATTCTGAGCGTGTGAGATGGTGCCTCCCCTGCCCACTCCCCGCTCTGCCCCGTTCTCCAGCTGTAAGTGTGAGCCACAGGGGCAGGCTGCGGTTTGGGTTGCTGGAAGGCTTCTGCAGCCAGATAAGCAAATATGAGAGGTCAGGGGTAAGAGGTGGGGACATCCCAGGAGTGGGGGTCAGGGTGGAGACCAGCTCGGGGCCGCCCACCAGGCATAGCCTCCTTCTCAACCCCACTTTCTCAGTCCACTGGGCCCCAGTGGCAGAAGTGCCCTGAGCAGCGAGTCCACAGTGAAGCGGGCAGGTTAGTGGCAGCTCAGGGACCAGACACGGCTGCAGAGTGGACCCCATCAAGGCTTTCTGTCCAGAGGGTACCAAGACAGGGCACTGAGGGAGGTGAAAAGTGCCCGGGCAGGACTCCGGGGCCGCCCAGCTCGCGCCCCGCAGTGTCTGCTGAGTCTGTGCCCTCACACAGCCTGGCGCTCCCTTCGAGCTCGCCTTGGACACCCGGCCCTCCACCTGTCCCCCGCCCGCTTGCCCCTCCAGCTTGTTTTGAGTCCCCACAGGCCTTGGTACCCCATGGGGCCACTGCATTGGTGACCATTTGTCAGCCATTGTGTTGGAAACTAGATCCCTCTGGAGGCCCTGGAGAACTCAGATGTTTCCCAAATTCAGATGGACTTTCTCTGGGGGCCTCAGCACCCGGACCCACACAGCAGTAGGACTGACCACTCCTCAGACCACATCCCAAATCGGGCTCTGGCGGGGCAGGTCCCTGGGGACAAGGAAAAGCCTTCGGGTGAGGCCTGCCAGGGCGTGGCTGCTGAGCCCCATCCAGCCTCCACAGCTTTCTGAAGACCTGACCTGGTCCTGGAGGGCCCTTGCTGAGGCTGGGAGAGGTCAGCAGTGGCTGCCGAGAGGGGGCTGCAGCCCGGCTCTGCCCGCGGGCAGGGCCCTCCTCAGCCCAGGCAGCCTGGGGCTGGGCCTTTCGGGCCGGTGCCTTGCCCTCCTGGACTTGCTCCACCCTGCAGAGGGCACCTCCTCCACGGCCAGTTCCCCCTTCCTTGGTTTTCATCCTCTGAATAATACTAATGACAGTGACGGCCAGCGGTGATGTGGCCCTGGCGCTGGGCTCGCCATTCACCCACATGGCCCCTACGCGGTAGGCATTCTTGTCACCTACTATGGTGCTTAGGTGAAGCATGAGGCACAGGTGATTAACTTGCCCAAAGTTGCAGAGGTCTGGCTCCAGAGGCTGCTTCAGCACGCCTGCCTACTGGGGACTTCATGCTCCCGACACCTGTCAGACTGGGGGCCTGTGCTCACCTCCCTCTCCTTGCACCCTGGGATGGGCAGGAAGCTTGAAGGTTCACAGGCACCGCAGAATGTCAGCGAGGAGACAGGCTGTGCTCAGAACAAGCTCGTGGGCCCTTCCCCATACCTGAGGGTGAGGGGCAGCTCTTCCCAGCAGTGGAGCAGGGTGGAGGGGCCAGCATCCATCTCTGCTGGACTCTGGTTGGTTCCGGGGCCTGCGTAGCCCTGGGAGCTGAGCCCATGCCCTTATCTCACTCTGGGGCTGTCAGGGAGTGGGTTCTCGGCTGAGCCGACCTGTGACACATCCTCCTCTATTGCCACCCCAGGGGCCCCTGGAAGGCTCCCAGTCCCCAGAGGGACAAAGGCTGGGCTCTGGCGTCCCATCAGCACTGCTCTAGCCTTTAGCAGCAGCCCAGAGCCAGGCCAGCCCACAGCAGCCACCCTGCCTCAGCTGCCAGAGACAGCCCAACACCTCACCCACCCATTCAGAAAGAGCTTCGTTGTGGGGGTCTGTGATACATCTCCTGGGAGCCTGACAGGTGAAGAAAGCCCCAGAGAAGGCGGACGCAGGGATAGGGTGGGCTGGGAGTTGAAGTGGTTTGATTTGGGGAAAAGACGAGAGGTGGAGGAAGAAGGGGAGAGAGCAGGCACGATGGGGTGGGGGTGGGGGAGCAGGCCTGATGGGGTGGGGGAGCAGGCGTGATGTGGGGGTGGGGCGTGGAAGGACCTGCTGGGCGCGGGCAGGGCTGCTGCACACAGGACACCAAAGCAGGTAGTTGAGAAAGCAGGTGGGGAGAAAGGCAGTCCAGGCCCCACTCCTAGGCCATGTGTCCACTTGCTAATTCAGGTAAAAGTGCTGTGTGGCCCGGAGCCGCCCAGGGTAGGGGTAAGGGGAGGCCACTGGGGAGACTAGGGGAGGCAGAAGAGCTTTTCTAGAGGGTGACCAGGATGAAAGGGGGAGGGAAGCTGTGGTCCTATTCTGCTTCCGGATCCCTGCCATGTCACTCTCGAGTGACCTGGTCATAACACATATGGATCAGGAGGGTCCACTTCCCACCACACCCAGGGCTGTGTCCTGGGAAGGGCTGACCCTGGCCACGCCCTAGTGTTTTTCTCTGCACCCCTGCCAGACCCTGGTAGTGGCATCTGCACGCCAGCTGGTGCTGGCCCGGCAGCCTGTTCCTGAGCCCCAGCAGCCCCTCCACGCCTCTGGGAGTGACGTGGGTCCCTGGCAGGGTGGGGCATTCTCCTGCAGAGGGCCGCCATGACACCCACCTGTGTACTCAGGAAAGCAGATGGTCAAAGGTGACTTCTTGATCTTCTCACCAAAGAGATCTTTCTTGTTGAGGAAGAGAATGATGGAGGTATCGATGAAGAACTTGTTGTTACAGATGGAGTCGAAGAGCATGAGAGACTCGTGCATGCGGTTCTGCAGCCCCAGGCCGGGAGGAAGACAGAGCAAGACAGACAGAGGGAGGGAGAGACGGAGACAGGGAAAGAGAAGAGGAGAATTAGGTTTGAGAGAGAGGAACTGGGCTCCTCAGCAGCTCAGGAGGGGCTCCTGTGCCCCCACGGGCTCCTCCGAAGGCTGACAGACAGACTTGCGATCTGTAACACAGCACAGAGCATTCAGAGCAATCTACACCCATCGTCTCGGGGCTAATGGCAGAGACCGGACTGGGAACCAACCACAGCTCCCTGGGTGCGGCTCAGGACAGGGTGACCTGGGCTCTCGCCACTACAGAGGCCCCAGTCACAGAAGGGTCTCCCTGCATGGGCGTGTGTGTGTGTGTGTGTGTGTGTGTGTGTGTGTGTGTGTGTTGAGGGGGTTGCTGGACGGGAACCCAAGAGCTGGGCTTTGGCTCTTCCCGTCTGGACCTTTCCTCTTGGGCCTAATCTGTGGGAGGGGGGGGCGACCTCTGGGAGTGGTGAGGGACGCTAGGCCCCTCCTATGGTCTGGGGGGAAGTCAGGCCAGGCTCCTGTTGGCATCCTCGGGGGCCACCACTCTGGGGTGGGGGCGGGCCTGGGGGACTGGTCACACCTCCTCTGGCTGGGTCAAACTCAGCCACGGCTGACCCTGCAAGGAGTTTTAAGCAATGCAGACATGAAGTACTGCCTTGCACACAGAAGTCTATTTAGCAAATGAGTGAATATGATGGGCACTCCAAATAAAGCAGAATCCAGCCTTTTGCCCTGGGCAAGGACTGACTTACTCTGTGGTGGGATGCCAAGCATGTGAACTTGGGCATTGTTTCTTGGGAGTGCAGAGGAGCATGTCTCTCTGTGAACTAACCCATTTCTGTATGGAGGAAGGCGGCTCCTCCATGAAATGTCCCTTCCTGGGGGAAGGGACAGCCACTCATTTTCCTCAAGAACCCTATCCTAGCCCTGTGACCTTGTCCACCCCAGAACAAGCCCCAAGGGTCTACAGCTCAAGCCCAGAAGGAATTCCAGGCTACACTCTCCCTCTGAAGTAAGAAGACTGAAACAAATCATAAAGAGCAGAGAACTGGTGTGGGCATAGAACTGGTGTGGGCATCGCTGGGCATTATTCACGGAGAGATGACCTCATCCCCGGGGCAAGCAAGCAGTAGGAGCTGAGTCAAGTTCTCGTTCAGTTGCCACGGCCGTCTTCCTCTACCTGAGCAGACGGAGGGTGGGGAAGATGATGAAGTGACCACCACCGGTCATCGAGCCCTGCTCTGCGTGCACAGCACTCAGTATTTTACCTGCCTCGTGTCATTTAGCCTCATCAACCCTTAGGGGACATCCAGAGGTGACACAGCTGGGACCTGGAAGATCAGAGACTTGCCCCTGTCTCTGGGCCAGATCTAGAGTTTAAGCAATGTAATGGGTTTCTCCAGTCAACATGAATAGTCCGTGGCCTTTAGAGAAATAAATAACAAGAGGGTCGTGACTGGCTCCGTGCGTCTTCAGTCATCTCTTCCGGCTGCACTACTATACCCGTGACGTGGAAGGGTATCTGCCCCCAGCCCTGTTCTTCTGGCTGAGGCCAGTTGGTGGAGGGGGCCGTCTGGGGACCCCCAGACAATGGCCTGGTCTTGCTACTCCCTCCAGGGTCTGTAGTCAGTGCTGTTGTCCTTTTACTCTGCTAACATGCTCAGTAACTCCTACGATCTGATTACTCTCCTGGCCTTGACCAATAAATCTCATTCCTTCAAAAGCCTGTCATTTGCACAGCCCCGCTCGGGCAGGAGCGAGACTCATTTGCCCTGCCATCTCCAGGGAGCCTGTGTACAGAAGGACCGGCGGAGGTTTCCTAGGAGGCTAAGTGCATCCATGCTGAGGGCCGGGGGTTGTGAACACTCGGGCTCACTGGGCCACCTGAAGGCAGAGGAGCTGCTCCAAGACGCAGGGAGTCAATATTCCAATTGTGGGAGGCCTCCTCCCACACAGAGCCACCTCGTCCTACAGCTGCTCAGCCAAGAGCTGGAAGCCCACAGCCAGAAGCACACTCCGGACTTCATTGCATAACTGTCCTGGGCACTGCTTGGTTTACAGACGTTGGGGGATGCGGTGGGGACACAAGCCCAGGGCCCTCTCAGGACCAGAAGGGGACACCAGGGTGAGCCGAGCTGAGAGTAGGGACTGTGCCCATTTGGCGTTGGGGCTGGGCTGAGGTTTCTTCCTCAAGAGGCCACTGAGCTTAGGTCTGGAGGAGAAATCCAGGCCAGCTCGTCCAGCTCCACAGTTCCACTCTGCTAAGGCTCAGCCCGTCCACAGCCTCCACACTCCAGGGCCACAGAGCATGCAGGCACTCTGCCCACCAATGCCAGCTCGATTTGTGTGCAAGGCCCTCTGCTGGGCTGCCATGGGGCTGTAGGAAGACCACAGGCTCCTGCTCTCCGCGAGCTCACAGTCTACTTGGGGAGAGACAATACACACACAGTGAAGAGGTCTTTGGTCCCTGGAGAGGCACAGAGCCGGGGAGGGGCCGAGGGAGGCAAAGGACACGCAGCACAGCCAGACCTGGCTTCGTGGGGATGGACCTGGAGTGAGCCTGGGAAGAAGGGCTGATCCTGGAGATGCAGGGAGGGCAGCAGGGAGGGGAGCTGCTGCAGGGAGGGGGCGCCGGCACTGAGACCCCTCCACACCCCAAAGGCCTGACTGCCATCCCTCTGCACACGCACTGGAACCCATCACCGAGGGGCCAAGAGCACAGCTGGTCCTTACAAGTTTCCCTGAGAACACGTGCCGGAGTACTTTCAAAATGATGCCACCATTTAAGAAAACAGAAGCCAGGGGTCACAGCCAGCCAACAGCCACCCACCCCTGTCCGCCATTACCTTCCCATCACCCCCCAGTCCTCAACCCGCCCCAGCCTTCAGTGGAGCCAAGAATAGCCGGAAAGCTCTGTCCTCCTGGCTGCCGCATCCCCCAGAGCAGTGGTGTGCGGCACCAGGCGCGCCGGGACAGGAAGGTGGGCTCCGCTCGGGACAGACCAGACTCCGCACTCATGACAATCCTGACAGCCAGGCAGTGTGGCCAGTTGCCCAGAATCCTCCTGCCCCCAGCAGGGTGTGCCCCCTCCGCCAGGCGGCCCACAGTCCTGACCCTGGGACCGGACCGGGGCAGGGCACGAGGACTGGGACACGTCATGTGGGTGCGCTTGGCGGGAGCTCCCTGGGCACTGACACAACACACCACACTTAACGCTAGGAAAAGCTGGCACTTTTTATTAACAGTAGGTGACTAATAAATACATTACGGCAGCCAATAAATTATTACAATAACTAGAGATTTATTAAACCAACAAGTCACTCTTCTTACAAAATTACAGTTAATATGGGGTGGGTGGCTGCGGCGGGGCTGGGAGGCGGGACTGCTGCACCTAAGAGAGAAGGCTTGCTACAGAGGGAGAGGGTGCCGGAGCCTGTCCCTGCCTGAGACGGGGGAGGGAGCAGGCAGGCCACAGCAGGGTGGGGAGGGCGTGGGGTGGGGGCAGAGGTCACCCACAGCGGGCCGAGCCAGCGGACGGGGCAGAACCAGCAGGGTCGAGCAGAGCAGGAGGTGAAGGCTGCCCAGGGAGGCAGTAGGAATGGGGGTTGGAGGGGGCGGAGGAGAGGTGAGGGGAGATGAGCCGCAGGAGTAGTGGTGTATCAGAGCTGCGGGCTCTGCTGGGAGAGGGGTGTGGGTTCACGCTGGTGGTCTTGGTGCACTGGGCCTGGGGGTGAAAGCTTCCCTTCCAGAGAGACCCCCTCTCTGACCCAGAGGGCCCAGGACTTGGGACTGGTGGGGGGCCTCAACCTGCCCCTCCCTTGACAGGGGCCTTCATCTGGCCAGGCTGGGGTCTGTCTGGAACCCCCAGAGGGAAGGCCCCACTATGCTCTCTGGGCAGGGTGGGTTCAGGACTCACCTCACTGAGGGGGGAGTGGGGAGCCTGACCACCAATACCCCAAGGCAGCAGCTCACGCTTGGCCCTGTTCCCTGGTCTGACCGTCGTGTCCTGTCCCACTGCCCGGGGCTGCTGGGACCCTTCACTCTGTAGGCTTGTGGCCTCTCTGGGGGGTGCTTGTTTTCAGCACTCCAGATTGAATCCCTGGCAGCCACGGAGCTAGAGCCTCTGGCCTCAGTTCCTAGGAACTGCCAGGCTGCAGCTGGAGGCTTCCAGAAGGCTCAGAGAAGAGCAGACGCAGCCAGGAGAGGCTTTGTGCTCCAGACTTCACAAAAAGGGGGCTGGGACAGGCGCTACCTGGCCTGGAGGAAAGAGATGGAGGCCCGGATTCGGTGGCCTTCCTTACCAGGAGGGCTGCAGAGAGCACCAGGTCAGACCAAGAGCAAAGGGGAGTCAGGGAGGGTGCAGGCTAGACATCAGGAAGAGCTTGCAGAATCACCACTGGGGTATGAACTGTGACTGTGTGAGGCCGGGCAGTGGGATAATCCCCCCTGCAGGACTCATTCGGGCAGAAGGGAAGGGCCTGGGTGAGATGACTCCAGGGATCCCCTGGGGGTTTACAGGCAGCCTGGGTACGGGGGCTCTGGGTGGGCAGGGCACTTGTGGCTGCTGCCTGCCCCGGGGAGACACTGGTGCCCAGTGCAGTCATGGAGGGCAGGGGTGTCTCCAGTTCCCACCAGTGGGTGTGGAGCTGGGCTCGGCAGGATGCTGGGAGGCAGAGCTGCCTCCTGGCACCAGATAAGGTGGTGGTCTTCTGCTCACTGCCCTGGGGTAGGAGCATGCGGCCATAGGCCCTCAGGCTCTGCTGGGGCCAGAGGGGAGAGAAAGGGCCAGGGCCCTGGGCATCTAGGGCCTCTATAGAAGGTGGCCATGGAACCCAGAATGTCAAAGCTGTTGGCGAGGGGCCCAGGGCTGTGCTCTCTGCTCAGGGCTGGGGAGACCACAGCTTCTTCAGGCCAGAGTCTACAGGCTCAACAGAGCCCCTCCTTGGGCCTCAGGCACGCCCTCTCCA